CCAGTGTGCAAGTTAAGGCCGCCACCTCGTTTACCAGCCTCGGTAATGACCAGAGCCCAGGCTCGTGAAATATCATCGTATGCACTTTCCTTGTGATGGCGATAAGCTTGGGGCTCCCAGTTGGGCAGGTCGTGGATAAGTTTTGTGGCGCCATCAAGGAACTGCAATGAAGTAGTCGGCTGTGTCTCCATAGGTGGGAGATATTGGGGTGTAAAGTCGGATAGAGCATCGATGAGGGCAATTAAGGGTTCCTTGACTCGATAATAGGTATATTCAGGGCTTGATTCGCCGTAAGGTATGGCTTCCTTCAACTTGACGTGATAGTCCTGCAAAACGTCCAGGGCAGACAAAACGGACGGTCGAGGCGCCCCGACGACAACTTCCTGTCCAATATCCGGGTGACGTTCACAGAGCCGTTCCAGGACCATCCTTAGCTGGCTGGCATCGAGAGTCTCCAGAAGTCGAGGCAAGGGAAGGGGTCGACCGATAAGCTCGTTGGATCGTACTTTTTTCGAGGGGCGTACAAGTGGTCGAGCTGAGATGGCAGGCGAGCTCAATGGCGACATGGTTTCGTCCCCATCGTCGTCGGCCTTTCGCTTTCGATTTGACATGCCGAGTAGTGGTGAAACTGTTTTGGGGATTAGCCATGGTGGATGCAGAACGAAAAGGAGAAAGCTGCGGGCCCATAGCCAAACACACAAAAATACGGACGATTGCGACGCAGACTTGGTGGCTATATATACGTACCAGATCGCTGAGGGGACAAACGAGGGTTTTCGTGGTGGTGTGGGAAAACTGGAGGCTGCGGCGACAACAAAACATTCATGATGAAGTTTTAGGCCGTTTGACCGAGGCGAAGCCGTCAACAGGGCGACAATGAAACCGACAGAGCAAGGTTCGTCGCAGCAGTACGATTTCCTGGAAGGCGTTGTCCACTACGCGAAGTGGCAGTTGCCGTTGCAGAGGCGATACTTTGCAGAGCAAAGAGTTGAGTTGCTGCGATGGGGCGTTTGGTGGGTGAAGGTTGAGCGAGGCAACAACTGTGGGAGGGGAAGCAGAAAGGGCGAGATGGGAAGCGGGAAACGGGAAACGGAGTCGTAATAATGGAACAGCCGGCTTTGGACGCAGGCAGCCTGCAAATCACAGCCGACTCTAGAAAGAAGGCGGTCAGAGCTAAGGCGAGGCCCAGGTGGTCCAGTAGGCGTGCCCTGGCTGGCAAACTTGGGACGTTGGGTGGCAGCCCAAGAAAACTAAGGGACGGGTGGAAGGGGTGGAAGGGGTGGAAGGGTGGCAGGACAGCGGTTGAGTGGGCACTGGCGGATTTACAAAATGGTCGACTGGGTTAGATTGTGCGATTGTGCAAATGCGAGTGGATCGACCTTGTGTTGCTGTGACGGGGGGTGGAGAGAGAGGGCGAGAGACCGAGAGGGCAACGCCGCTTGCGGGAGGCGGACAGCAGATGGCCGATGGAAGATGAGATTGAGAGACGGGGAAGGGAAGGACTTGGTATGCTGGGGCTATTTTGTAATGGGGAGATGCGGCAGCAGGAAACAAATGGAAAATGCCTTGAAAACACCAGACAAGAAAGAAGGCCGGATGCAAGGATTGGGGGCGGCGTGGCTCAATCAATTTTGTTATCAACCAGACTTGTTTGATGCTCATGTTACTACGGACATCTGGAGTACCACCACCAGACTGCACTCAACCGCTGCAACACCCACAAGTGCCCAGCACTGAGCCTGCGCACGTGATGGCCTGGGCCCTGGTGGCGCCTGGACTAGTGCTGGGCTTCGGTGGCCCCAGTCGCTAATTGGGCCTCTCCGAGAGCGATCGCCGGCGTCAACTTTAGGGCTGGTTCAAATGCTGCCACTGGAGCACCTCAGCCTCGTAGTACTTGACTTTAGATGGCAACTTCATGGTTAGAGATGGACCGCGCAGCTAAGCTTTGGCGGCTTGGGCGTGGGTCCGCCTTGCCGCGCCTAAAAAGCTCGCGCCCAGCGCCATCTATTTATTATTTGCACAAACAGACAAAAAAGGAACATTGAAGCCAAGCCTGGCCTGATGTCTGGTGGTCTCTCTGTATGTACGGAGTATGTGTGTGCATTTGCGCAGAGGTCAGCCCGAGGCCGAAGCTGCGCGTTGCAATATACCTCCGAACGTTGGTAGTTGCCTCCTACTTTGCTCATTATTATTACTCATCAGTGCTTCGGAGGCTTAGCGGGTCTGGCAATTAAAAGACAAAAAGGTCAATCTGGTAAACCGTCGCTGGTGAGCTGCTTCCATGCTGCAAAACGAGAACGGGCTGGGAGTATTATTGCGAAACACCGTTTGCATCGCCTTTTTAAACGACCAGCGAACCTAGCTACTTTCAATACTTGGCCTCGACACGTTATTTCTCCGTTGCTGCACACAGAAATTTCTCAACCCATCCATATGTGAGACAAGCTACTGAGTACGGTAGTAGGAGTACCACACCAGATGAGCCTCCATCTCCGCAATGCAACCCCATCGGCTGCTCGCGTCCGTCACAAGTTGCCCTTGCTTTATGAGATTATGTGCCCATACCTGTGGACACTGCCGTTCAATACTACAGAGACTTGAGACGAGGCCAAGCATCAGAAGGCGCAGCAAGCTGAAGCCTGCAAGGTGAGGCCGGGCAGACGTTGTCATTCATCACCATCGTCTTTCTCTGCTGAGACAATAACTATTGACGGGAAGCTATCTAAGCTATGCCTAATCATGACGCCGAGATGTGAGAACCTTGCTGCTTCAGGCGAGTACATGACACACCCGCATCAGCCGCACGCCCTTGGTGTCCGAATACGTTGACCCTACTCTATACGCTCCGAGTAATTCGTGAAGCGAATTTGGTATCTTGCGTGAACCGATAGGATGCCTTTTCATCCCTTTGAATGTGATAAGGTGCCAGCCAGGTAGCGGGCCCACTTCATTTGCAGTACCTTTTATATACCTTATATTAGGTGTATAGACTAATATATATAAAGTATCTTTGTGTATATTTAAAAAGTAAAGGTACTTTGATTCCTATACTAATACCCCGTGGGCTTATGTATCTTTTAATTCAAGATTTCTAATTGGTCCATATCCCTGCTCGGTACAAAAGTGGCCCCTTATCACATTCAAAGGGATCCGTTCCATGGTAGTTTCCTTGAGAACTCATTTTGGGCTTCTACCAGATGAATTCATCTGACTGCAGCGAAAAGGACCCCACTCTTGAATCCCACTCTTGAAGCCCACTCTCGGACCCCTCAGGCTCCCACAATGGTCCAACTACCCCTGCTGGTAGCTTATCGTTATCGCCTTGCTGCACCAAGGGAAAAAATTCTGGCTGCTTGTCGTTTTGCCTGGCCACCGAGTATTCTACAGGTTGTCATCGACCTGTAGACGAGAGATCTGCCAAAGCAGTCTTATTGCATTATTCAGATCACAACCATTTTCGCGACTCTGGATTTTACCAATGGAAAGTGTTAAAGAAGAGGCCATCCCCCAGGATGGGGGAAAAGTCACGTCCACCAAGCGCAAGTCTGCCATTGACGAGATCGAGGTCGACCTTACACTTCCCGAACCACCATCAAAACGGGCTCGCCGTGCTCTGAAAAAGGGCAAGCCCCTCCCCGCAAAGAATGACAGCAGCGACGAAAAAGCAAAGGCAGATGGCGACGGCCAGCAAAGTGACAAGAAGGAAAAGGCTAGGTCAGAACACGGCATCTGGGTTGGCAACTTGCCCTTCACCATCACAGCGGCAGAGTTAAGGCAGTGGCTTGTGGACAACTCCGGTGGAGTCATTACCGATGATTCAATCACGAGAATAAAGATTCCTACGTCAAAAGACCCTGGTCGAGATAAGAGCCAAAAGCCCGCCAACAAGGGCTTTGCCTATGTTGATTTCACAGACATTGCTGGCAAGGTTGCTGCCATTGCGTTATCAGAGACGGAACTCGGACACCGGAAGCTTCTGATCAAGGATTCCAAGTCATTTGAAGGACGACCTGCAAAGGAGAAGGAACCCGAGGCTGTGGAGACCGGGTCAGACGGCAAGGTCAAGCACGGTGCCGAGCAGAATAAAGAATTCGACCCCAATGCCAGCCGGAAAATCTTTGTGGGAAACATGAGCTTCAAGACAACAGAGGAGGATGTGTGGCGGAACTTTGAGAAGTGCGGAGAGATTGACTGGGTCAAGGTGGCTACGTTTGAAGACACGGGCAAATGCAAGGGCTATGGATGGGTCAAGTTCAAGCAACCCGAAGCGGCCGCGTGGGCTGTCAAGGGATTTGTCAAGGTGAAAGAGGCGGTTGAGACGGAGGACGACTTCAACGATGGCGACGACGCAGAGGACAGGAAACAAGACCAGCAGAAGCAATTCAAGACGAGGAAATGGTGGGTGAACCGTATGCTGGGTCGAGAACTCAAGTTGGAGCTGGCCGAAGATGACCAGTCTCGGTACAAGAAGCGTTTTGGCAAGGACGCCCAGAGGCAAGCGAACGGGGGTGAGCGAAAGGGCAGGCCCTCACAGGGACGAAATGGATTCAAGTCGAGAGATGAAGCGGCGAGCGATAACTCGGGTGCCAAGACTGAGGCCCCAGAGAAGGCGGCTAAGCCACTCAAAGAGGCTGCTGATATCCAAGTTGCCAGACTGACGGGCGCGGTGGTGAAGCATACGGGTACCAAGATGACATTTGATTGAACAGTGTATCTATTGGGTGTTTTTGCGTTTAGGATGAAGATACCCTCACGAGGCGATCAAGTTCAAGGAATCCAATTTTCGCATCTGGGTCGGATAGACGGAGAGGCGTTGTGGCTCCCTTTCACCCCGCATCGACCGTTTCCTGCCGTGACGGTCGATTATTCATCAAACTTGCAACCAATTCCTTCAAGTCAACGACCGTCTCTTGCTCCTCTCATCAGACGCTTTGCCTTCCAGAGCAGATTATAATTGAGCCTGCACGCCTCACCTATCGTATCTGTAGCTGAAGCCATGTATGAATCGCAAGTATCATTCACCCTCGATACCATTTGCCCGTGGTAAGCATCTCACCCCCATCATCGCATCGCCCTCAAAACACTCAGATCGAGCAACCTTCCCCCCCGGAGATCCCAGAACAAAAGCCAACTCTCTCAGGACGTACCTGGCAAAGAAGAGGTCCGTACATCCTCGCCCGTCAACTCACTTCACCCACCACCCACTAAAGACGCCGGCAGACTGGAAGAAGCCCTCGCCCAAGTCCGGGCAACCTCACCCCCGGTAACATTCACCCTCCACTTCGAGCCGTTCCAGCTCTTCCCGGACTTCCCCGACACCGCCGACAAGCAGGAATGGTACCTCCACGAAAAGCACTTTGACAATGAAGCCGCCCAGCAGGCGTACCAGTCCCACATGACGTCCCTCCTGGAGCCGCACGGCGTGAAGCTCAACTTCGCCGGCAAAATGGGCAACACCCTCCACGCCCACCGGGTGATTCAGCAGATTCAGCGTGACAGGGGAGCCGACGCGGCCAGCCGTCTGGTGGAAGGGCTGTACAGGCGGTACTTTGAGCAGGCGAAACATCCGTCCGGGGACGAGACTCTGGTGGAAGCGTGCGTGGAGGCCGGGGTAGGGGAGGACGAGGCAAGGAAGCTAGTGGAAGACAAGGAGATGGGGCTGAGGGAAGTGAGAGCGCGGTTGAGGGAGGTCACGATGGACGCTGATGCGGTGCCGGTGGTGGCGGTGGAGGGCAAGAGGAGGGACATCACGCTGACGGGGGCCAAGGAGGTCAAGGATTATATCAAGGCTCTGGAGACGGTCGTCAAGGAGAGCGGGTGATGCCTGAGTTTTGATGGTGGACCGCTTGTTTGTAATTACTGGGGCGCTTTGTGAATCTGCATGGAAGGACGGGTCGACATTACTACATACAACCTTTTTCTTTTTCAAGAATGCAAATATACGAGTTGCAATCGTCCTGATATGATGGGGTATGTGACGCGGGTACAACACGCAGGAACAAAGGGCTAATATGTGACGTTGATGCAGCCGTGCGCTTATCAAGTCTGGGCAGCGAAGTGGTTTACATCAATGTGCTATTGATAGAGACAGGTAAGAAGAAGAAAAAGAAGGTAAAAGATAATCAATACAAAAAGAAGAAGGTCATGAGTGCCATCAGACTTCATTACAAATCGTTAAAGAGAAAAAGAAAGTGCCCATGCCTCATTGCTATTCGTTCCCGACACGACTCTCATGAACGACTAAACATCAACGGCACCAAGGCGCTCCGACTCTCCATGCGGCCCCTATCCTCAACAACCACGTCCATCGTATACATGTCGTTCGCCCACTCCCTACTCGCCATCAACCTACACGCCGCCACCGCATCAGCCGCTTTACTCCTCTTGGCGGAAAACTCCCTGCTCAGCTTCGAGAGAACAGCCTCCTTGGCCTTCTGAAGAGCGCTGACCCTCGCTGCTGCGTCTTCGGCGAGGAGTCTGTGCGCTTCTTCTTGCTCAATGTTGCGCTGGACAGCGGAGATGCCGTCGTCCCGGGAGCAAGACGGGTCGTAGACGGCCGGCTGAAGGATGACCGGGTGCGGGTCCGCCGCAAGGATAGGCGCGGTGATGACATGTTTTGGCGAAGGGGGCGTGACGGGCCTGTTGTGCCTGTCCGGCTCCCGGGGAGGCTTGGGCTTTGGCTTGGACGGCTTCCTGTCATGGCGGTGCGAGGACGACGGCCTCGAATCAGAGCCGTGCTCATCGTGTCTTCTCCTCCTCCTCTTGGTCCTCTTCTTGCGCAACTTGGTCGTGAAGCCGACACTCTCTTCAGACCGCGCGGCAGAAGCAGCAGCAGACGTCTCCTCCGACGGCCCTTCGACGACGGTCCTCTCCTCGTCGCTGAATCCCGATGCGCCCAGGTCCAGATCCAACAGCTCCCTGCTGGCTGCTTCGGCCGCGGCACTCGGACTGGGCAGCTCCTCGTCGCTCTCGCACGTCACGAGGCTGTAGTCGGACGCGGCCGCCATGCTACTCCTCGTCCAGGAGTCGTCTCTGCTGAGCGGCGCGAGGGCATCCTCCCAGTTCCCATTGTTCGTGAGCACGACGTTCTCAAAGTCGAATTCCTTGACGGTAGAGCTATGCGACTTGATCAGGTCGCTCAGCTGGGGCGCATTCATGGCGGCATTCCGAATCTGCAGGTGGCGCAGCTTGGGGAAGTGAATGGGTTCCCGGGGCGGGCGGACGGGCAGCGGCGACATGGGCGACGTAACTTCGTGGAAGAGCTTCTTGGACGACTTGGGCGGCGCAAAGAGCGGATCGGAGGATAGAGCCACGGGACAGGGACCCTTTGCCCCGATCCACGTAAAGCTGAACTTGTCGAGGGACGGCGCAAAGAAACGCACGTAGTCGTCGAGGATTTTCAGGTGGTCCAGCCCAGGGGAAGGGCCGTGAAAATCCCATGCTTCCACAGAGATGTTGAGCTTCTTGACTTGCTTCCAGCGTTTTCCCGCCGACGGCACAGAGCCGAACCCCTGCGTGTGACGGAGGTAGTTGAACGCCGAGGGGTGCAGCGACGAGAGACTCAGCTTGTTGAGTTTGTCGAGCGGCGCTCTCTCCACGGCGATTCGGAGGCTGATGAGCGCATAGTCGACAATGTCCCTCCTGTACCTCTCTCTGAGGTCCTGCCCGGGGCAGCGGACGGTCAGGTGCCTCATGTTTGGGAGCGAGTGAAGCGCATGGATGAAGCTGGGCACGTTTGTGGCGGCGTGGAAGAGCGGCGGATACTGCTGCGTCAGGATGTCGCCCAGCTCCGTGTTGGCATACTTGCGGCGAGTGAGCGCGGAGCTCATGCTCGTATGGGGCGTGTACAGGAAGCATATCTCCTGCCCGGTGAGCGGATGCACGAGGGGCGGGAGGAAGGTCGCTTCGGAGTGAGGCATCTGGAACGTCAGGTGCTCGACGTGGTGGCCGATGCGGTTGAGAGCCGCCACGCGGGTGGGTTTAGTGAAGGTGGCGGGCGTGAAGGTGACGGTGATGCGGGTGAAGAGGTGTCTCGTGACGAGGTTGCAGCATGCCGACGAGAGCCGGCGGACGGAGGCAATGTCAGAGGTGGAGAGGTGCGAGAATAGACGGTCCTTGATGCGGTCATTTCTTAAGAGGATGATGAGGAGTTGCTCTGCGGACGACATTTCTCTTTCATTGTGTGGCGGACAGTGTAAGTGAGGTGAGGTGGATCGGGGTGACGATGCAACCGTGTGTGGTTGAATTTTGATGGTTGGTATAGCAATTGATGTAGCTGATAGCCCAGTGACACCCAAGATTGAGCTTCTCAAAATCAAAAGTTGTGATGAAAATAGCCACGTCGATCAGATAATATCGCTGCCCAAGAGTCGCGGTGTAAGTCGTGAACCGGTATAAAGATTCAACCTTGACAATACCTCAACTTGAAATCTGAAAAAGGTAAAAAATGGACACCTCTATCCAGGCACAGGCATCAATATGGAAACAGCCAAATTAATTTGAATCCGGGCCATGAAAGGCGGAGGCCCGTATATATCCCGCATCTGCATCACCCTTTTCTTTCATTCTCCTGATCCCACTTCTTGGTTTTCCCGTCGCCTTCCCCCACCAAACAGGTACGTATCCATCTTCTATCCCCGTCTCGGCGCCGCAGCAAGGCACAAGAATCGAGTGGTCCTGAGCGATCCAGCGGTATGCATGCATGCAGTCTGGGTGTTTTCTGGCGTCGCGACCGCGATGGGAAGACGTGCCGATGGCCACGGTTGGCCAAGCCGGTCTCTGGATTCCACATGGGGTGCAGAACGACCTGTGATGGACCAGTGGGATGGCCTCCCACGATGCGGGCATGGGTGTCGTATGCAGCGCCGATCTGATAGCGGCCTTTGCGCGGAGGAGAGCCGTTGGAGCATTTGTGCGGTCGACGTTGCGAGATGGCAGCTGTAGCCAATCATATGGACTTGCGGGGACGCGAGATACGCGCGCCACGAAAATGGTTGACGCGGGTGACGCGGGTGACGCCGCTGTGGCTGCTCATGCGTGGTTTGAACGTCGTTTCCGAGAATCGTCTGGTCCGGCACCATTTGGAAACGATAACCTAGAGCTTAATCTTAATCAGGTCTCCCATGTGGTCGTTTGTTTGGCCGCAGCGGATGATGCCCATGATGGCAGGACGCATCAATCTAAATTCAAGCCATCACCAACGCACAACTTGACAGCCAAAGCTGTGGCGTATCCCGCCGTCATCGTGCTCGGCCTGAGTATTCCTGCTCGTGTAAATCCAAACGATTTCATCATGTCACCGTCTCAGACTATTGCACACTGTTATGCACGCTTTCCTCAAGTCGTTGTCCAACCGCAGCCTGTGGCGTTGGCGACGTTTTGCACGCGTTGAAACGAAACGACGCTTCAGACCAGTCAATTGGATTGTGCGCCAACACTGACCTTGATGCATCCCGTCTCTCAACACGGCATTTTGGTCCTCACACCCACAATTTGAAGAAAAGTTTCGCATCGGTCCCTGCAAGTTGGTCATCCTGTGGCTCTGAGTCGTCTCGGCTGCGACCATACAAATGCCAATCACATCCCAAGCGCAAAAGTCGCACTTTTAACATTACTACCCTCATCGCTTGTGACACTGCATCATTGGGTATCTGAATCTCTCTTTCTCTGCATAAACCAAGTCCACCGACCCTTGTCATCCACGCGAAAATGCAAATCAACCGGCTACCTCCCTCATGCACCACACCTGAAATGCATTCCTCACATCTTGCATCGCATGCTCTATCGCCCTCTGCCTCTGGGTCTGCCTCTAGGTCTGCCTCTGCCTCGTCCCCCTCTTCCAGTACCGCCGCCGCCGCCTCGCCCGCCTTGGTTGCCATGTCCACCTCTGGACCTATTCGCGTTGGTTGGCGGTAGAAGAGGAGGTGGCGGCACGCTGTGATAGCCTCGCGTTGAAGGGGGGGGCTTGGATGGGAGAGAAGGGGGAGGGGCTGTCGGTTGGGAGTGATGCCCGCGAGCTCCAGGTGGAGGGGGATATCTACTAGATTGGCCTCCTGTCAAAGGTCCTGATGGTGGCGGTCCCGGAGGAAGCGGTGGTTGGTCAGCGAGTGGTTGAAAGCTGTTGACGGCGTGACTACCCATCATCTGTGGCAACGTCAACTGGATATAGCTAGACTTTCGAGATTTACCCACGCCCTCTTTCGGTGCCTTTGGCAGCTTTTTGCCAAGGAACTCTATGTCAGAGTCGTCACTTTCTGAGTAATGGATATTGGCTGTCCGTGCAGCGTGTCCGCGAATCTTGGTCTCCGGGGCCCGCAATGGCTTCCTGTTGCCTTCAGGGTTGGCGGCATCCTCGATCGACAACGCGTCACAGCTATAATCCATATAGAGGCTGCGGTTTTGTAAGGACCAGGTAGGGTTGGAACAGACTCCTCTTCTATGTCTGCAATCCCCTGAAAGGTGGTCTTTGCCACCACACACAGCGCACGAACTGGGCAAATACACTACTGTGTGTATTGTTTGTTCCTCCGGGTGAAATGATCGCCAGATATCTGTGCAGCTGTCCTCCAGATGCTCAGAAGACTTGCAGTAAAGGCAAGCCAGGCCCTCGTCTGTTGTCATTGCCAGCTTTTCGACACAGGCGGCAGCCTTGTGCCCCAATTGACGGCACTTGGTGCATCGTTCTTGGATGCTGGGACAGCAAAAGTCCCAGTGATCATAGCTGTCGCAAAATCTGCATTTGGATCGAGAGCAATGAATCGCCCTATGACCCTCGAGGCCACACAAAAGACACATGCTGCTTGGATCAGCAGCCGAGGGGAAGTATCTTCGCTGTTGCTCCAGCTCCTCTGGCCCAGTTGGAACCCCCTCTCTGACTATGGGAGCGTCGCCATTCTGTGTTTTGTACTTCATTTCCGTTGAAGCCGGACGGCTGCCGTTACTAGAGACCTCGCCCTCCTCTGGTGAGCCGTCGTTTGCACCTTGGGTTTTCGCTGGTGGCTTAGCAGCCGGTTGTTGCGGACTAGCATCCGTCCAAGACTTGGTTTCTTCAATTGCGGTCTGTGTCGTGCCAGCAAGTAGCAAATCTCTGGCAGCTTGTTTTGCTGCCTTCTTCTTCGCCTGTCGCAGGCGACTATTATGAGTATCAAGGTAATAGATAAAGGCGTCCGTCGCCACTGTAGGCGTGATTGCAGAAGCGTTGTGCGGGTTGTGCTTGCGGAGTACCTGAACCCAGTCCTTGAACCTGGCAGTCCATGAACCCTGCTTCTTTCGAGATAATGCAGGCAGGTCGAGTGATAGTGAACCTACCGTGTAGGTAGGAGGTTCACGGGGCATATTGGCTCGAGCGACGGGTTCCAAATCGTCAACCTCGGCCTGGTCGGTTGTGTGACCTGATGTCGAAAGCCCGTTTGTTGCCGGAGGAGAAGTGGCTGCCGTAGAGTGAGCAAGGGGGGCTGTCGCCTCGGCTGCGCTGACAAGCATATATTCTTTGCCCTTCTCCAACGCAGCGCGAGGATTGGCTTCAGATTCGGACTCATCAACTTCGCATTCCTCTGAGGCTTGGTGAGTGTGATTTGAAGGTGATGTGCTCAGTTTGGCCCGCTTTGGATGGCGCGAGGGCACATGTTCATGGATGGTAGCAGCTGGCGGGAAGCCGTGAGCCTCGCCCTCCTCGCCCTCGTCGACCTCATTGCGTGGCCGTTTCTGGCCAGGTGTTGACAGTTGGCTATCCATGCCTTGCGGTGCTGGCTGCGAAATTGGCACCTGGTCAATCTCGGGCTCGTAGTTGCTCTCGTCGTCACTATCCCCGAGGCGGATGACGTCGCCTGGCGTCTCATTCCCGTTTTTGGCGCTCATGTCGAATCCAGCCCTGCGCCAACGGCCAGTAAGATCAAACGACGATACTGCCTGTCCTCCCAAGTCTATTCAGTCCATGAGATGATGATGATATTTCTCGTGGCAGTTTCCAGGGGTACGGCTGCACAGAATGCTCTCTCCCTTGGTTAACTCTTGGTCGCAATCCGACACTGTCACACACGCAACGCACGGCTCGGTTTGGATGCGCACTCTTTTACCGTCTGGAAGTCAATGAAGCATACAACCGTCGCAAAACTTTTCAGCAGCCTTGCTGAATACGACGTATACTCGACCAACAAATCGTTCATCGGCGCACCAGAATGAGGTATGCCGAAAGTGTCAATCCTATTCCTCCTTCCCTAGGGAAGAAAAAAATTACGGGAAAGCGGACGAATCATATCGCGTCCCCGAGTCGTTGAATTGTATGATTGACGGGCAGCAGACTCCAGCGTCCGAAGATTAACCCGGAACCATGGGCTTGAGCCGTGAATTTGCTGATGCTACCCTATACCCATATATAAAAGGCTGGAACTCTGTGCAGGCTCGTGTAGAGCAACAGGATGTGTGAATTTGTCCATGTACCGTAATGTGTTGTCGACTTTTCTCATAACCATTTTCTTTTCCTCCTCGAAATAGGGTAGGGGCCTCAAGTCACGACATGTTCGATGTTTTCTCAACAAATTGGGCCGCTGTCGGCGCGTCTAGGCCCCACATATTGTGGCTGTAATGCTCGTCATGTATAGTAACTACTCCGTACGAGGAACAGGAAACAACACTAGGAGACGGCCAACAGGTCATCGAGTCTAGCAAGGGAACAACATCAATAACGAGAATAGCAATTAAAAATGGCATTGTTGTGCTTGTCCGAATAAAAGTCAATCTCATGTTCTGCTAGGCGGCGACGGCGCCCACCGGCGTGTTGTCGACTGCGACTAGCCGTCAGAAGGCCACAGGTATGATGGGGATTATTTCCTGGCCGGGTCCAACTAGATGCCAACTTGGCCTGAGGCGTGCGGCGCCACGCACGCGCTAGTATTGACATGTGGTGCGCGCCTGCACGTCGTCGGGTGTGCATTGCCGTCTGGTGTCGACATGGACATGTGCGCCCGCTGGCCCGCCAAATTTTTGGAGGCCGTGAATGCTGCAATGCCCTAAACGGATACGACATTCTAATAAGATCGGTTGATATTGAAGACGTAATGGAAGCGTTGCATGTTCCATGCCCGCGACAGGGGTCAAAAAGCCAAATCTTGGGTCTTGGTCGTGGTCCTGGCCGCGTGCTTGAGTCGGCAAGGCTGGGGGACCAGCTCCTTGCAATGTCACGCTGGCACGGCCAGGGCCATCAATTTCTCGACGGGGAGGAGACACAAGGAAGATGCGCGGAAACCGCCGTCCTTGAAGGCTTGAAGGGCGGCTGGTGGTGGGCACGAAGATGACATCTGGACTGTAAAGAGTCAAAGACATTATGCGACCAAGTTGAATCGAGTCCATGTCCGGTTGACCTTATCTGCTCAGCTCTAGAACCACCAACTGGCCACTCACAGCAGCCGTGTCAGCAGGTCGGACCCAGTGCCGGCCGGGGCCTGTGCTGGGGGCGCACTCACCTGAGCACCAGACTCCAGATGTCTGGTCCCATCAATCCGCCATGTCCGCCGGGTGTTTGCCCGCCCGCTGCTTGCCTCCTTGCCTGCGTGCCTGGCTCCTGCCTGCTGCCCGCACGCTCCAGTCCGGTCTGGCTCTGGCGCTTTCCTTGTCGAGTCGACACTTCCACTTCCAGTCCCACCTTCGGACCCCAGCTTCAGTCTTCGGACATTCTCCCATCACCAGTCTATCCGGCCATTTCTCATCGTCGACTTCTGCCATCTGTGCGCGCTGCTATCGCCACCCAGCCATCCGTCTCCTTGCCATCGTCTTCTGTACTATCGCTCACTGTATTCATACATTGGCCACTGGCTGTGCCTTTTTTTCTCCCGCCTCGTCACGACCTTCGCCCCCCCAAACGTCCATTGTCGTGTTCGACTCTCCGCATTCGCCGCTTCTCCCTTTGGGCATCGCAAACCACCATCTGCTCCAAGACAACTAGCCTTGTGGCTGTCCTGTACCTGCCAACTCAATATCGAGTAAAATCCTTACCGTTGTACCCCTCCAACACGCAGCTTGGTACAGCCGCTCCTGAACCGGTGACGCGAGAGACTTGCATCACCGCCTCGCAACTTGTCGCTCTCTGATCCACGACTCGGGTCTCTTGTCCTCTCCCCCTACTCGTACCCGACAATACCGCCAAGCTGTCTTCCCCAATTCTTCTCCAGCGCACCGTTTCCTACGACGCGGGCACAAAACCTCCGCGTCGTGGAAGCATATATCTAGACATGGCCGACCGAAATAGTTCAGCCCGTAGGAGAAGGTCGAGCAGCATTCTGCAAGTCTATCATGAGCCTCCAGAGACGCTCGAGCAAATCAGTGACCAAGCTGTGCTGCCCAACCTCAACGCCAATTGGACAAGTGCAAAAGGTATGAATGAACCGACACGACGCGAGGAACTAAGCTTGACAACGCCACAACTGCCCCTACATGGCAAGACATCCAAATATGCTTTCCTCTTGTCTTGCCGGTGCTCTTGACCGGTCACGCGTGGCAGGGTGTGGACGACGCTAACGCACTCGAATTTGCATTCTAGGAGCCTGGACCATCCACATTGTTCTCATCGCCGCCCTCAAGATTCTCTACGACATTATCCCCGGTGTCTCCCAGGAGACATCGTGGACCCTCACCAACATGACGTACATGTTTGGCTCGTACATCATGTTCCATTACGTCCGCGGTGTCCCCTTCGAATTTAATAGCGGCGCCTTTGACAACCTAAACATGTGGGAACAAATCGACAATGGCGCCCAATACACCCCGACCAAGAAGTTTCTGCTCAGTGTCCCCATTGTGCTGTTCTTACTCAGCACACATTACACCCACTATGACCTTGCATACTTCATCATTAATTTCTTGGCTGTATTAGCCGTCGTCATTCCTAAGCTGCCTTTTGTAGGTCGCCGCGTATATCTAATATCAATCCTGCTGCCATTGGCCAAATCACTAACTTTTTATAACCTTTTAGAGTCACCGGATGCGATTTGGCCTGTTCTCAGGACCCCCCGAGGAGGATTAGTACTACGGGTCCGGTATGGCAGCGCGTCAAGTGACGTTTAGTTCATGTAATTGATTTTTTGGTCTCTATCTAGGGGGGTGGCGGGGCGGCAGGTCAAAAGGTACTACTACAACTGCTATCAAGGGGAAGACAGTACGCAAAAGGGTAGAGTTTGCGGCGAAAGAAGCACATACACAACAGCGAGCATTTTCCGGGGCCACGAAAGGGCTTTTGTCGTTGGCCGTGGCTTTCGAAGGGATGGGATTGGATCTTGACACTGCAGCGTTCTCTATTGCTCCTTTATCATTAAAACGCCACCGGCGAGTTAAATACGTCTCATATTCCCACAAGTCTACCTCTCCCCCTGAATATTTCTTTGTGGCACCTGATATAACGTGACGTATAGTCCAGGGACCAAATGCCCGTCAAAAAATCTTAAACATCCTAAAGTCCGAATGAGGAAAAAGGGGGGACCAAGTTGAGAAAACGGCTGCTCACTCAACCACCGCCGTCTCACCGATGAATCTTCGACTGAACACTAAGTGATAACCAGCCCCTTCACCGCGACTCATGACATACTGCTTGTCAAACCAGGCACCTTTCTCATAAACTTTATTTTCCTGGATGAAGATGTTGGTATGCTTGATGGCGAACAATCACCCAATCCACGATCAGCCACCCGCCTTCTATTTCCCAAGTGCTTCTATAAGAAGCCGGTTTGCTCTCCTCATTTTCATTTACTTTTCCTGTCTTTTCTTCGCACGCCCTTTGAGGTCCGAGTCATTTATTTTATTCTACTCTTCTTTGGTGCTTGACTCTACATAACGTGTTTCAACATGAGGGTGGTTGCCATTCTCGCCGTCACGGCTTTCCTCAACGGCCATGCCCAAGCGCAGGACGTCCCAATTCATAGGTATAATAACAGTGGCATTGGTCCGCCTCGAGACGCACGCCAGAAGTTCAATGACACTGGCTTTGTTCTGCCCCGAGGCGAAGGCCAGAAGTCAAATAGCACTGGCACTGTCCTGCCCCGAGGCGAAGGCCAGAGGTTTAATGACACTGGCTTTGTTCTGCCCCGAGGCGAAGGCCAGAAGTTGAATGGTACTGGCACTGTCCTGCCCCGAGGCGAAGGCCAGAAGCCAAATAGCACTGGCACTGTCCTGCCCCGTGGCGAAGGCCAGAAGTTGAATGGTACTGGCACTGTCCTGCCCCGAGGCGAAGGCCAGAAGTTGAATAACACTGGGTATGTTCAGCCCCGGACGTTAGGCGTCTGCTATTGTCCTCGGTGTCTTCACAATATCAGAATTTGCACTTGCAAGGAACCTCCCCTTCCCGAGTGCTTGCTGAGAGCGTTTCTCACCAGGACAACTATTACTTGGAAGACGGCCACAAATAGAGGTGTCAAGACGCGAAGTAACACTGGCCAGCCTAGTGATACCTTCAGGGTCTCTGGCACTTGGAGGCCAACTAACATTTATACTAATAGGCGTCTGTTTGTTGATGATGAGATTCTCACTCCGACTAGGTCATCTCACATTAGGAAGCCTACTGCTACTGGCACGCCTACCGAGACGGGCAAGGCAGCTAAATCCGGGAAGTCTACTGTGACTGAGAAGCCAACTCTTCCCTGGCCAAGTTTTTCTTGGACAACCATTCCCGGGAAGCCAACACACGCCCGCAGGGCTAATGATGATGGCAAGCCAACTCTTCCTTGGTTAAGTCTTTCCTGGCCAGTCTGGCCAACGCAAAGCGAGGAGCCAATTAGCACTGGAAAACCGGCCTATACTCATAATAGGCCGTCTCACACCGAGGAGCCATCTCACACCAAAAAGCCGGCCTATACTCACAGGCCGACTCTGAGCGAGGAGCCATCTCACACCTGGGAACCTACCGAGACTGACGGGCCAACTCACACTGAGCTTCCGACACACACTTGGAGGCCGGGCCATCCTCATAAGCCGACTCACACCGAGGAGCCTACTGATACTGACATGCCTACCCACAACACCGAGGAGCCAAGTCACACGGTGAAGCCAACATATACTCATAGGTCGACTCACACCGAGCAGCCTACTGATACTGACAAGCCTACCCACAACACCGAGGGGCCAAGTCACACCGGGAAGCCGACCTATACTCATAAGCCGACGCACAACACCGAGGAGCCAAGCCACACCGTGGAGCCTACTGATACTGACAAGCCTACCTATCCTGGCAAGCCAACTGGTACGGGCAGGCCAACTGGTACCGGCAAGCCAACTCGTCCTGGCAAGCCTGGCAAGCCAACTAAGACAACTCGTCCTGGCAAGCCAACTAAGCCAACTAGCCCTGGCAAGCCAACTAGTCCCGGCAAGCCAACTTACACAGGCGAGCCAACTTACAAAGGCGGGCCAACTAACACAGGCGGGCCGACCGGCACTGACAAGCCAATTTACTCCAAGCCTGCTTACACCACGGCTCCCATCAAAAATACGCATAACAAAAGGGACCTTGAGGAGCCCGAGTGCGCCCATGACCCCCATTGCACGGGGGATAGTCAATCTGATTGCCCAAAGCCCTCTCTTTGCGAAAGGGAGCCTCACCACCCATTCTGCACCGAGACACATCCCCATACTCATGGTGGTAAAATGTGTGATAAACCTCATGGCGAGGCTCAGCATGCCGACGACGGCACGCCCTGCGATGGACATGACCATGAGGGCCATACTTGCACCAAAGGCTGCCACAACCCTATGCAGGCTCACAACGGAACTGACGAGCTTACACCCTCTGGGAGCATGATCGGTGGAGATGGCAGCATGCCGGTTGGTACTCATGTACCCATCAGTGCTGGTGAGACTACTGCCGTCTCCGACTTGGCCCTGGGCATTGTTGCTCTGGCTGGCTTCCTTCTTTTCTAAGAAGGCAGGGCTCCATGGATATCTTGCAACGCTTTTTGTTCCTTGCTAGGAACACCAACCTAGTTGAGGGCGGGACTAATCCGACAAGATGGATTGGTTGGGGAGTTGTGAGATGTCTTTCGAGAGCTTTTTATTACATCTACCGGGAATTTGTTTTGTTTTTAACGCTCTGCTCGAAGTTATGTGCTACTGAAAAAAAAAAAGAAAAATCGCTGGGGTTGGAGAAACGAGGCCAAAAAAAAAAAAGGTTAGGAATGGGGATGGTATTGTTATTATTGTTTCGTGGTAATCTGAACATTTGGGCTTGTCAGGAGGAGAGTAATGCTTAATGGGAGAGTGGTGTGTGCGGGCTCTAGGTGGAAGATGTTCTCCAGATTGTAGTGTTTTTTTTTTTAAAGGTGACGTATGATAAACGTGTACGCGCGAGTTAAAGAATAATAATACCCGGCTAGTTCATAAACGTCCTCTTGTGAGTCTTCTTCCCTCCCCAAAGGAAAGGGGGAAAACAATGATGCCTGTGTGTTGTTCAACTTTGAACTTGGTACGGTGAGACCAGCGCTAGCCACAACCACGTGTTGTAGTTTGAAGACAAGCACCGCCGTCAAACGAAGTCAAAATCGGTCCATTTCCAGTGTTACCCAACCTTCCCCCCGCCTTCAATTCCTTGCCCCTCATGTTCACAACGCCACATGGAACCTTTTCGTAAGCCTAGAGCCAGAAAACAGACCAAGTGTGTCAACTTTACAGACTCATTCGTGTTGATTGCGATATAGATCCGCGTCGATTGCTGGCGGCGCGTCATGCGTAAACACGACTATCTCCGAGAGGCGAAGACGCGGCTGCTATGACGGATTTCGGAGGACGGCTGACGGCTGGCGGCTGGCGGATGACGGGGAGTTGAAGTTGGTGTTGAGGAAAGCGGAGACTGAGAGTTGCCTCTTTGGGAAGCGGCCGGCGAGGACTTTGGGGTTCAAGAGCAAGAGCAGCGAGGGAGCATTATGATCACCAACAACCTCTTTTATGTGAAGATTACTTGGTGCAGCGTCAGACGGCGTGGCCCCATTCTATGTTTGAAAGAAGAGAAGTCCGAGAATTGGACCCTTGCTTGACTTTGTTTCCCGAGAATGAGAGAGACGGTAGCGCGCAGCGGTATGGTTGAGTCGGTTCCGCCAAATGGACTGTTATGTTCCGAGCATCGAGCATAGCCAGCCATCTTTGATGTTGGAAATTCCCGACTGCACAATTCGAGGGACTGTTGCTGCGAGTCGTTCAGCTGATGGGCGCTATTGTCATGGAAAAACAAAATGCCTCCCAACGTTGATGGTTGTGTGTATGGCTGACTTTGGAAGTAGATTCGCCCGGCTCTCGATTCCATATTCCACGTTTTCAGCCTCACATACACACAACATGCCAAACAGACAGCCACGCAAAGTCCCGTCCCGGCTGCCCCGGCCAACGGACCCTCCTTGTCTCTCCCAATCATCACCAAATGTGGAGATGTCCGAAGTGCCATGCAATTGCCGCTAGTTTCCTTGACCGCAATCCCAAAGCCATCCCGACAATCCGTATAGGCTCGGAATCCGAGAGACACGTTTCAACAGAGACGAGCTGTCAACGGTCAAATAAAGGTGGACCGAACCATCTGATAAATATCGAGACGATCCATTCCACTCCAACCAGTGCTTTTTCTCAATCCAATTGCCACTTGATAACCACCACCATTCATCCTCACCACCCTGCCACGCGAAACGCGAATCCTACCCTCCCCGGCTCTGATTAGCTGCATAACTAGTTGTGTATCACAAGTTGTGTATCACAGGAACTAGCCGAGAAACCATGAAGGGTGGTTACACTAGACTCTTTGACGACCAAGCGTCCGGCGACAAGGTCAGCGAATATGCCGACGCCCACTCAACCCCGTTGCCGGCGCACATCACGGCCTACCATGCGCACGCCTCTGCGAGCAGGCACGACTCGGAAATGCTGAGCTCGAATTTCCAGAGCAAGCTGCATTTATTCCTGGCCAGGTCCATCGGCGCCAAGAGGGGTGAGTCTGTTTCCCATCCGTCTACTCTTGTTCTTGCTAGAAACCATGGCAAAAGCTGCAACCCGGGGAAGATCCGAGACCCCGGCGCCTCCCACCACTTTGTGCACGCACCGTCTATATACATGTATCCCAGACCCTGCCCGTTTCGGAACAAACTAATGCGGATGGTTTTTCGAAAAATAGTTCTCGAAGTCGGTGTCTACGTCGGCTACTCGGCCATGCTCTGGGCCCACGCCACGGGGCCAGACGGCCTCGTCACCGGCCTCGAATATAGTCCCGAGTTGGCAAAGATTGCCCAAGACGCCCTGGCAAAGGAAGGCATCAATAATGTCGAAATTATCGTAGGCAATGCCGCTGAGACGTGCGTGATCCCCACCCTTTGGAGCGCGTGGTTTGTGAATCCCGGGGCTCGTTTGTGTGATACCAAAACCCTCCTGGGGGCACTTGGATCTGAATATGCTGTGATACCATCGGCACATTCTTGTTCGGTGGCTTGAGGTTGGAACAGGGTGCCGAGAATGAAAAGCTGACCTGCGCGCCGACTAGTCTGCCCAAGGTGAGCCCTTCTACTCCCTACGACATCATCTTCCTGGACGCCGATAAGCCCGGCTATTCGAACTACCTGTCTATTATTCTGGCCAATTCCCAGCCCGGAAGCAAGAACCGCCTCCTCCGACCAGGGGGCTTGATCATTGCGGACAATGTTCTGCGCAGGGGCCACGTCGCCGACTCGTCTAGGATGGATCGTGAAGTGGAGGACGCGGGCTTGTGGAATTTGCACATTGAGGCTGTGAGGAAGTTCAACGATCAGGTTGTCGGTGAGAAGAGACTAGAGTCGTTTTTGACACCGTTGTGGGATGGCTTGAGCATGATTAGACTCGTCGACTAGAATTGGGACCTAGGGGACTGGGTAAGTGCTACTATCACTGCAACACGGTTCTGGTGGTTTGCGTGGGTATAGGCAGGTATAAATATATATTTGCGTTACGGGATTCTGTGCATAGAAATAGCAAGGGATATCATATCATGTCTCGACGCACGCTTGCTGCGGTATTAGACGACATGAGCATCTTTTACGACAACGCCGCCGCCGCCGCCAAAAAAGCTACATTGTTGTCATAGCCCCCAGGAATGACGTTGCGCTTCCGCCACATTACCACAACTCTCATCTCATAATTTCACCATAGATTAATGGAAGCTCGATCCAAACGTCGCCATTATTAACACTCGACAGTGACCAGCTTTGCGCCGGCCCTTTCTATTCGAGGCACGCGCCGTGTTTACCAGAAGCGACGCTTGCGGCCGCTGGCAGGGGCAGTAGTAGTCTCATTCCAGTTCTCCTTCTGGCGCTCCGAGCTCTTCTTCTTGCGAGCACAGCAGCAGGTGACAAAAACGACGGCGGCACCAAGGAGGGTGAAGATGGCGGAGGCGAGAATGAGCCAGATACCGGAACCCCAGCTGGCCGTACTGACGCCGTTTTGGTTGACGTCGTGCTTGATGATGCTGAAGGTGACAAAGTCACAGACCATGGCTACCAAGGTGACGACAAACGTAATCAGCGACACGAGGGAGGCCAAGAAGGAGCCGACGGTGCCGGTGAAGATGCAGAGAAGGCAGGCGATGAAGCACAAGCCCGTTGCGACAGGGTGCAGAACCATAACTCGCGTGAGACCCTTGGCGGTGGTGGCAGAGGCATCGCCAAAGTCGGTGCCGTCAAGGCGGTTCATCAGATTGGCAGGGTCATAGCCAATCCTGGAGTGGGTGCATTCATCGGAATCGCTGTCCGGGCCAAGAGTCAGCAAGCAGTGCCTCCGAGCTTTGCCTCAGGTGGACGAATGGACGCAGACTCACTCTATGCCTCGAAGGCAGTAACCAAAGGTGCCAAATGTGACCTGGTCAGCCCCAGCACGGTTTCTCCCGAGGTCGACCTTCATTATCGAGAGGTTGTTGATGACAGGGGCTGTGATGTCGACGACGATGAGAAGCACAAACGACACGAAGAGCAGAAACGTGCCGATGTGGTGAATGAACTTGCCGACGCCCATCTTGAAGTCGATTTCGCGCCTGTGAGAGGTATGTGTGGTTTTGCTTGGGGTGTTCTTCCTGGAGACGACCGACGGTGGAAAGGTATGGCCCAAACCAAGCTTCGTGTCAACCAGGCTGGGGAACTAACAGGCATATATGTAAATCAACAATGTTTCATAAGACACGGGCGGTCGGATGCTCCATCTTCTGGGCGCTTTCAAGCCCAACCCTTGACCTCTTCCAGACTCTGCGACGTCATCCCGGCATACAACAGCAGCTGACGACCCTTGCACGTCTTGGGTCTGAGTGCAGTCGCACCGAGCCTGGTACGGAGTACGTTACTAGGAGGTGATGCAGAGATGGAGCCAGTCAACCAGTGCTAGTGTTCCTGGGTCTTGTCTTGGAAAGAAGGCATTGCGACTCTTTGGGAGCCGGGGGTGACGTAGCAATCGAAAGGTAATTCGCCATGGAAGTCGGACTGAAGCCGGCGGTGGGTCTGTTTGCTGCCCTGATCTGGTTCGGAGCCACGCCACATCTCGTCGAGGCTGGCAAGGGAGGGTTGCTTCATTGAGCCATACATGCGCCATGGACCGATTTCATTTGGCTAGTCGCTCAGCGCAGATGAGCTGAGGGACTGTGGCACAGCTCCCGCGAAACCATGCAGCCCATCGCACTGGTCGACGAGAGCCGATCAAGGGAAAAGTGGAAATCAAAGTTTTTCGTTTGATCTGTGCCAAGCCTAAGCTGCGCTGCGCAAGGATAGGCAAACATGGAAGCACGTCGCAGCGGCTTGCGCCTGTGGATCTTTGTTTTGAGGCCTCCCCCCTTGGCCATAATTAAAAAGAGTCATGATGCTTTGATCGGTGCCTCCAGAGTTGTTTGCCCACTTGTGCTATTATGCTGCACCAGGCCCTTTCCTGGTTGGACGCATAAAATAACATCATGTCAACAAAAAACGTGTCTTGTTGTAATCCATCTTGTCACCACGAGAACCCACGGTTTTTGTGAGTGGTCAAGCGGATGGTGGTTCTATGTATTCGGCCGAATCAGCCATGCGTGTTTCGAAATGGCCAGGTATGCAGCCACGGCGAGGTTTCCAATTTCCCAACGCGTCCAATTGCCGTGGCGCCAGTAACTGGTGTTGCGGGGCTGGCCTGGGAAAAGTTCGTTCTTCAGTGACAGAAGACAATCAAACTAACTTTCGACCATTGCGAGGGAGTGGAAGGCAGTCCGAGTGGTCAATGGCGTACTTTGTAGCATAGCGTAGCGTAGCGTAGCATCATGCCCATTCATGCACCGAGTCGCTGAGCATGCATATATGCCCACGCAGAACAGAACAGTGCCTGGGTTGGCTGCTCAGTCCTTCATTTTGCTAGGCATCCATCCCTTCAGTTGCAGTCGCTCTGCTTTGCGCTCTGATTCAGAGGCGTTATTGCTCCCCACATCGAACAGCCAGTGCGCCAGACCCTTCGAAGCCATGGTCTGAGGCAGTGATTGCTTCAGAGTCGCGGCCAGGAATGACTTGTCTTTGCGATAAGCTTCTGGCCAAGAGTGGTGGAGTGGCGACCCTGTCATGGCGAATTTGTGCATGTAATCTGGGGCTGGAAAGATTTCTAACGTGAACTGCCTCTGTTCTTGATGGCTTGACGCGGCGTGCGATGTGAAGACATGCTTCGTGACCAGGGGTGGTGGTTGGTCTGGTGCAGCTGTCATAGACGGCCGATTGCTTTTAAGGCTGTTGAAGCTTTCCGAGTCGTCCAAATCGGCGATACATACGTCGGCATTCATTTGGTTCACGGGGATGTGATAAGTCAGAGGGCTGTATTCGACTAGTTTGCTTGCTGTGGCGGCCTCCTTGGTTACCGATATGAAGTTTGCATGGTAGCCCTATGGACGCATGTCGGGTTAGAACATGGGGGAAAGGTGAATGGCGAACTGAAGGCAAGACTGGAGGTAGTGTGAGAACTTACCGGCGTCATCTTGAAGACCTCGACAGGTCCGTATTGCTCCAAGACTTGCAAAACCGAGCGCCGCTCTGCAAAGGTAACCGGCGTGGGAGACACGAGGACTCTGATGGACCGCTCGGGGATGGAGCGCCGCCGCACAATATTGATAGCGGATGACATTGTAACGGCAGGATTTGTTGAAGGGGTCCGAGGTGGTATTTCCCGAGCTGTTGAGTGAGAGCTTCGAGTTGAGCAGTTGAGCAGTTGACGTCCAGCTTGAGCCTAGCCCGGCTCCCTGGGTGGGTCTCGGCTGCTGACTGGCAGAAGCTAGCATTGAAGTGGAGAGAAGATGGAAGCACCGCAGGGCTGTCAAGTGCATTCATACACCACCAGCTGCACTGTAGATAACTACATACTACCAGACATAACTACATCGTATCGTTGACCACCACAACACGACGCCAGATAGCTACACCTCACCAACGTCTTTTCCAAACAACACTATTTCATCATCGTTTCCACACCATCTCAAGTCTGATTCGACACAAGCTCCCACAAGCTGATGCGAACCCTTCCCGCCACCCTACGACCTGAGGTGCGGCCGGGAAGGTGAGCGCGGTGCCTCGTGTCCTGCTGCTCGACCGTTGCGCCGCGATTCCATACGCAAGAAGCCTGCACAAGACATAGCATTCTGTTGAGATGGCTACTCCAACGCCTATGAAGCATGCGCCCTCGCAGCAGGGTCGCACTCCGTCGCAGCTCGCGGCCGCGACTCCTCCGGTTTCGACGCCATTCTCCAACACGGCTCGAGCTGCCTTTTCTCCTCGAGGCCCGGGATCGTCTCCCCAGCAGGTCAAGAAATCCCCTGCTACCTCAACCCTCATGGGACACACGGGCATGGGAGCTTTCAACTTTGATAGTCCTTCGACTGCCGCTGCCATGGGCGCACTAGGAATGGGCGGCGGCTTCGACATTGGGCTGGATAACGTGGGTGTCGGCGGATTAGACGCAATTGGGGCTGCGCTTGCCAATGAAGATGACAAGATGAAGCGCCTCGATACAATATTGACGTTGTTGAGTGTTAGTGTGTCCCACCCGTCACACTGGATTTGCGCCGAAACTAATGCATTTTGGTAGGCCAAGAAAGGACTCGTGAGCGAAGCTAGTCTCGAACGTCTCGCGCAGCGCATTGGCCTAGAATTACTATCCGAAGAGCAAAGGACTCCCGACGGGCGCAAGACCAGAACATTGGCTATTGCTGGATCAGCTATTGCGCTTGATATTGTGCTTGACAACAATGTTGTTCAGAGCGTTTCCCTGGCCTACCACGGATCTGCCTCGTCTGTATCAAAACACATGGATGCTGCAGGCCGAATATTACTCAAAGACCTGAAACTGCTCCCAGGGCAAAGCCCATTGACGAAAACTCTGGAGAACTTTGCTTCCAACTTCGAACGTCTGGCTAGCTTGGACAAGCTGAGCATTGTGCCAGGACTCGACTGCCACGAAGCCTTGGCTGGCATTTATGTTAGCCTCGAGAGATTATACCAGTGGGATCTGTCAAATTTGCGAGAGGAGCAAGATATGAAGGCAAAATCAGATAAACATCTCTCGAATATGGTAATGTGTTCCAGGCATGGACGGCCCGTGATGCACGACCGAGATACAGTTGGACTCGCCATACAGTATTGGAGGGAGCTTCGGTTTATGCCACCCGTCGCCGATGGCACGTATACATACAACTACGAAAGCGGCAAAGTTTGGTCCCTTCTTCTCGGTTGTGCTCCGCTGGATGGCATGGGCGTCCCACCCGTGAGAGTCTCGGAGAACTGGATTTCGAAAGAGATTACCAAGCAGGATGCGATGATTGATCCTACAAAGACCATTCTGGACTGGCAGGAGCCTGATAATATCTCACTACCCCAGTCTGAAGATAACAAGGATGCCGGAATGGACCTCTTGCAGGCTGATCTTTCCACCACAAGAGTGCCCAGAGTCATGTTCACCGTCACGTTCGACCCGCCGGTTGTTCTGCCACAGAACGACTGGGCACGCCTTTACATGTATGCCAACGTCAATCCTCCCAACATCATCAATGAACCGAGCCAGCGTGGCCATCCCCCGGCGCCACCGACTTTTGACAGCCTGCTCTTCCCCTTCCCGTACGGGATGAAAGTCGACCCCAGTGAATCCCGAGCCATAACACGACAGCGACTAGTCCGCGTTTTGTTGAGCAATCGAATCGAGTCTGTCGTAAATCACAACAATACTCTCTATATTTACAAGCCCATCTACTCACAAACCGTTTCTGAGATGCCCTTCTCCCACCCCCGCCAATTACTCGATATGCTGCCGCTCTTGCGACAGTACGCCTTTGTGTCGACCCTGCTCGAAAACAGCTTCGGTTCCAAGACGAAGCCTGCTGAAATCCCTACCCAGGCGCAGCCAACAGGTATCAAGACCAAAAAGGATCGTCTGGCAGAGTACATGGATGGGCTGGAACCAGACGCATTCGGTGTGGACCATGCGGCCGATACAGATCTAGATGTCGTTCTCTGGGTTCATCCGGCGCCCCATATGCAGGTTGTTTTCCCAATGGGCAATTCCACCGCGAACATCTCCCTCAAGATCCTGGAAGGCGGAACTGTGGAAATTGTGGATGAGAATATTCTGGACTGCAACGACGACAACGGAGAGGTCAATCCCAGGAGGAAAGAATTCACGAGACAAAAGCTGGGCAGGGTATTGGAACTCATGGAGGATTTGTGCTTGTGGTCCGAATGGATACGGTTGAGGCTAGGGGCGACCTGACGAAGAGGAGACGACTTGATGATACCCTGGTGTAGAATAGTGCCAATTCACGGCATCAATACACGATACCGATAGCACACTTGTGAGTATGGGGGGTTAATTCCCCAACATCTGTGTTGTGCTGGTGGCATCATGCTGCTGCTACTGGCTCAAGAGCAAGGTCCAACTTGATTGCCAAAACAGTAGAATACGACAGGGACGAACGTCCGTCCAGGAACTACTGCACCTAAAATTAAAATACGTGATTCCGATGGGTGATTAACAAAGTATGAGTTTACATGTCTAGCTGAGCAAATACGGCCTCGTCGGACTTCAACTGCATGGTGGGATTTTGTACAAACACGGCTCACTATTAAAACGACATGCTATAACATCAGTCTATGAGCGCACGTTGCCGCGTTTCAGACAAATGAGTGTCTGTCATGTTTTGTTATTTTTTTTTCTTCTAAGAAATTGTATTTCGTTCGTCTAAACCGCCCTACTTCTCACACGTACAAAAAAGAGCAAACCAATGACCAGTGAATCGTAAAACCCTGTAAATAAAAGGAGATAATATATAAGTAGAATTACACCAGAATACCAGAATCAGATCTCCCCCATGCCATGCCAGTTGAGCCGACAACTGCAAAGTACGAAACCCCAAGCCTATCGAAGCTGCAGGCGTTCCCATTTAAAAAATTTACAGCATCATAGCGGCGACAGCACCGAGGACAACGAGGGCACTCAGGCTCTGCTTGGCAGCACCGCTGACAACAGTGGGAGGGCAGTTGGGACCGGTGCAGCCCCCGTTGTCGGTATTGGGTGCTGGGCTGCTGGGCTGCGCGCCGCACGAGGGCCCGACACAGGCCTGGGAGCCGCTGGGTCCGGGTTGGGGTTGGGCGATGCTGGTGCCGTTGCTGGTGCTGTTGTTGTTGTTGTTTCCGCCGCTGGGCTTGGCTGGCTGAGGAACGGAAACAATTGTCTGGGTGTTGTAGATGGTGGTCTTGGAAGGGTGGAAGGGGGGCGGAGCGGTGAATCCGCCCTTTGGACCAGTTGCTTCAGCGGGATGTGTCTCTTTGCCCGGATAGTATGTGGTGGGGACGACTTCGGTGGTAACCTTGCCGACGGGGCAGTTAGTGACACCAGGAGCGCAGCTGGTGATGGTGTAAGTCTTGGTCACCTTGGTGGTGATTGTGATCTTGTCAGGGCCCTTGCCGCCGTTGCCATTGTTACCGCCGTTTTGACCGCCATTGCCATTATTACCACCATTGCCACCATTGCCGCTGTTACCACCGTTGCCATTACCACCATTGCCATTGTTGCCGCTGTTGCCACCGTTACCGTTGTTACCGCCATTGGAGCCAGTTGGTACCGCCGTCTCGCCAGGGCAGTATGTGGTAGTGAAGACTTCGGTAGTGACCTTACCAACGGGGCAGTTGGTGACAGTAGGAGCGCAGCTGGTGATGGTATAAGTCTTGGTCACCTTGGTAGTGATAGTAGTCTTATCAAGGCCGTTACCACCGTTGGGGTTATTGCCGCTGTTACCACTGTTAGGGTTGTTACCGCCGTTACCACCGTTGGGGATGTTACCGCCATTACCACCGTTGGGGTTGTTAACGCTATTAGAGCCAGTTGGTACCGCCGTCTCCTCGCCGGGGCAGTACGTGGTAGTAAAGACTTCGGTAGTGACCTTACCAACAGGGCAGTTGGTAATGGTGGGAGCGCAGCTGGTAATAGTATAAGTCTTGGTCACCTTAGTAGTGATGGTAGTCTTTTCAGGGCCGTTACCGCCGTTACCGCCGTTGCCGGAAGTCTTGGTGGGCTTGGGGGCGGGAGTCTTGGTCTCGACAGCAGAGACGGGGCAGATGGTAATGTACAGAGGGAGAGTCACAGTGGTGACCTTGCCAACGGAGCAACTGGTGACGGTTGGTTGGCAGCTGGTGATGGTACGAGTAGAGGTGGTATACACAGTCGAGGTGGTCATTTCAACGGAAGAGGCAATTGTGGAGTTGGGCCATCTCGTTGACAAGCTGGGCACCGAGGTTGAGAAGGTGACGGGAACCTGGGTAGAAACGGTCGGAACAGTAGAGTCGGAGGATTTGGAGGCAATGCTGACACTAACAGAGCCAGCGCTCTTGGAGACCGTGCTCATGGTTGAGTTGGATGATTTCCAGGTCGAGGTGTTCTTGACAGACTTGGACGTGGACGAGGCCTCTGTGCTTGGTGTGGCAGAGGCCGTGGAAATCTCAGACTTGGATGTTGCAGAGGCTGTGGATATCTCAGACTTGGACGTGGACGAGGCCTTTGTGCTTGGTGTGGCAGAGGTCGTGGAAATCTCAGACTTGGATGCGGAAGACGACGCCATGGTGGTGGCAGTAGTGGAGGTGGAAGTAGTCTTGGGGGCGTCCTGGTTGAAGATGCGAATATCCTGAACCTTGAAGTAAACATCTTTAAAGGCATCAGGGTTCTGGCCAACGTAGTCTCGGCAGCTGTCACCATGCGTGTTCTTGCAGGTGCCCTCCCATGCTGAAAATTCAACGGGGTTGCCGCACATAGCAATGTTCAAGACAATTCGCTGGGGCTTGAAGATCTTGTCGATATTGCAAAGATCTTTCCTCAGATACATGGTCGGCGCACCCCAAGAGGAAGTATCGGGAGAGCTAGAGCCAATGTTCGAGGGAACCTGGTTTGGGAACCACGAGTAGATCTTGATGAAGTCGCTGGTCCACTCCATGGCATCTAGTTTCACACAAGAGTCAGCCAAGTTCCATCTCACCCAGCAAGTCATAAGCTTTGCATGTCGACTTACACACGCCACCACTACCACCCGAAGGACCATTATCCTTAACGACGCAGCCCTGGTTAAGCCACTGGGTACTGTAGTCTGTGTATTGGTTGTCACAGTTGGGGGTGATGAGGCCGCCGGATTGGTCTGCGCTGTCAATCCTGCAACTGCCATAGGCGGCTGTGTTAGCCATGTGAAAGGCGGGATTGTTGACGCCCCGGAGGTTCCAATTCTCGATGATGTCGATCTCGCCATCCTGCGGCCAGGTATCACCGACGGTCCAACTAATACATTTGTCAGTCAGTGTGAAAAGCACGATATGAAGCGAGAATACGACTTACAAGGCAGGCCAGGTGCCACACGCGCTCTGAGGCAGGTGAGTGAATCGGGCAATCATAAGGCCCTGGTTGAGTCTCGCCTTGGACTCCAGTCTCACACTGTCACGACCACGGAGTTTTGCGCCTTTTGCTATTGTCGTCTTGCTGTCAACCTTGAGGACAACCTCTTTATTCTGAACCGCGGCAAGTCCGGCATCGATGGCTTCCGTGCGACCCAGGTAGTTGACATATCCACTGTTGGGGTCGTCAAAGGTCATAAAATCGAACTTGTCAAAGAAGTTGGTCGAGTTGTAGGTGTCTTCGAGATACCACTGGACAGCGGCACCGTTGCCGGCCAAGGCCAGAGCCGCGGTACCCAAGGAAAGGAGTGATGGAGCCATTATAGTTTTTTTGATTTAGATTTGCAATTAACGAATGTGAAGGGCGAAACAATAAGTAACGAATGACTAAGACGTACGGTACGTCAGAGGACGAGCAGGGTGCTCTTGGATGCCAACGTGAGGCAAAGGACTAAGGATGCCTCTGCTACAAGAGAAACGACCAAGGAGAAAACCACAACCCCAACCAACGTTGGGTGGACAGCTGCTTTTGAACCATCTTGTCGGCGTTGGACCGAAGGGGTTGGGGGTCTACCTCGCGGTCCACGAGATGCGATGGCATCCCACGCGGCACATTCCGTATTGGTAATGGGCTGGGTAGAAATTACATAAATAGTACCCCATACATAATACAGAAGATATGAAATCGTCAACAAGGGCTGTTAGTTGATGGAGGCAGAAAACTGCTGCGTATGGCGGTGGGCTGGCCGAGGAACTCCACAGCACCGTCCAGCACCTGGAATGTATTACTGGTTCCCATGATGGAAGTCAATTTGCATGGCACGGGTATAGCCCACAGCATATTAGCTCACGTATAGACTGACCAGGCATCGTCTGTATGGACCGCATCTCGTAAGCTTGCAAAGCGTCTGAGTGACGGAGAGGGGAGGCAAGGAACTGTACAATACGAACACCATTCTTCACGCACATATCAGCATCGAAGAGTTCGATACACTTGTACTCCGTAGGACTGAATCAAACATAAATAAGCTTATTGAAGTGGAGGGATTGGGCCGCCAGCTCAAGTATCTTGACGGTCTCCCCTCCAGAGTGTCGGCGCGGCAGAGGTCGACCCCGTTGTCAACAATTTGGCCGCGAAGGAATCCGAATCTGGGTACCTCGGCCATGGCGAACGGGTCCATGGAGCCAAAAATGGGGTCTCCAGCCGCAGTCTATGGAGCTGCCCTTGAGTAGTAACTAGGGGGAGGTCTCGTCAACGTACAATACAACCGCTGAATTATTGTCAAAAAGATTATGTACTTGGCCCCGCTTCCCCCCGGAATACGTAACATTGATATTCTAACAGGTATTATGTATGTATATTCTAGGCCTACTAGGCCTGATAGGCGGGCACAGGTAGATTAATAGGGGATTAGGCTCTACTAAAAGGGACCTTTTTTAATGTGGGATTTACCTAATTATTTATATATTTATATGTAATTTAATACGGGCTATCTAATATTTAATTAGTTTAACCTACCCATGTCAGGTATCTGCGTGACAATAATTCAGGGGTTGCATTGTAGTCGCTGCACATGGCGGTTGTCCATGTATGGCTTTCGGCCAGGCTCAATTAGTCACCGCTAATGCAGGAACGTGGAACCAGATTGGACGACGTTTGAGTTTCCAATGCGATATCCTTGGCCTAGACGAAGCCGCCCTCCATTGACGTTTTCCACGATGTGGTGCACAACTGGGTATAATTAGTATAGCACATTGCGTATGGAGTTTTCGAATGGGTCCTCGATATGTTTTTGATGGAGCTGTGGCCGCGTCACCCCGGTATGGCATGGGCGCCGGGCGTGATTCATCGTGAGAGGCTTGGGGTAAATTCGAGAGCTTTTCATGGAACAGAATATCAGGGCGAAGCCAGGTTGCGATGATTCGATGGTGACTTGACGTTGGCAAGATAAATTTTGGCCGGACCCATGAGACCAGGATGCTGACAGGTGGTGCAGGCGAGCGGACGCCCGTTTCCGTAAAGAGCCAAGCGCCATGTTCCCGCCGCTTGATTCGATAGCCAGTTTCGTTCTGAGTCCCCCACCTGCCGCGAGTAAGTGTTTCGATGTACTGATTGCACTTCTCCATGAACTAAGTATTAACCATACAAATGTATAAAGAAATAAATGCCAGCAAATGAAGTGTTCCTTTCAGGATTTCTGACTTGATCTTCAATCGTCGTCTACGGCTCGGGGGCGTCACACCCCAAGCCGATGCACGCAGCCAGCCGGTTTAGGATATTGGTACTCTGGTCTAGAGTTTGATGGCTACTTCTGATTCCAAACTCTCCCTCCCAGTAAAATATGATGTTTGATGCCTGGGTCAAAATATACATTTAGTATTTTAACCATCTAATCGACTTTTTTGGGTTGTAGTAGCTCTACTAGGCTTCTCCAAGGCTTGACACTATACGGATGATCTCATCCGTCATTTATACTCACTCCGCCACGCCTGCGAGGCAAAAGCGCTTGTCTGTTTTGTCGCCCCCTCAACTATCGTGCAGAACGCTATGACATACGACAATGCATCAGCGTCCACTGGGCGACAGACACACTTGTCTTGCCAGAAACTGCGGACTTTGACCTCACATAGATAGACCAATGGATCTGTTTCTTTGCCCAGGTTGAATCGGGTATATTATTTGTTACATCTACTTGCTCCTAGGTATCAAAAGCAAGAGGCCGGGCAAGCCTATTGCCAACCGCATAACGCCATCATGTTGAAGAATCTCCTCATTTGGGAATCAATATTCCATACTAATGTTTGTCATGGAACTTCCAAAAAATAATTCACCCCCAAACGGGAGTGCTAAATGCATATATGTTGAATGCTCGCCAACCAACTGCCTTCCAAATCCAGTTCCCTAGCCCTCAGTTTCTCATAAACTTTTTGGGATGCAGATAAAACACACCTTTTGTCATCACCCCATCCCATAAACGCCGATGTTGAGATCGTATCCGGCTTGATTTTAATAAAGGAAATTTGAGACAAAACAATCATTCTCGTCGAATAAGAACACATAAACGATGTGCGAATATCAGTAAACACAATTCTTCATTCGTTACCTGCCCAAATATTCTCATGCGGCATCAGCTGAGCCGCAATGAAAAATAATTTATTTGGCATACTTGGTACGGAAGAACTTGGCAGCATTGACCATGTTGACCAGGGCCTCCTTGGTCTCCTTCCACTGACGAGTCTTAAGACCGCAGTCAGGGTCGATCCAGAGCTGTTCAGGCTTCAAGAACTGAAGCATTTCCTCGATGCGGTCACGAATCTCCTGCTCGCTAGGGACACGGGGAGAGTGGATGTCATAGACACCAGGTCCAATGTGTCGGGGGTATGCAGAGTCAACGAAGACGCGGAGGAGCTTGGCATCAGATTTGCTGTTCTCAATGGACAGGACATCGGCATCGAGAGCAGCAATGGCGTGGAAGAAGTCCTGGAACTCGGAGTAGCAGAAATGGGAGTGGATCTGGGTGGCATCCTCAACACCAGCGGTCGACAGCTTGAAGGCGTTGACGGCCCACTCAAGGTAGGCGTCACGCTCCTTGCCAGAGCGAAGAGGGAGACCTTCGCGGAGAGCAGGTTCATCGACCTGAATGACGTCGACACCAGCCTTCTCGAGGTCAACGACCTCGTCGCGGAGGGCAAGAGCAAGCTGCTGAGCCTGGACGGACTGGTGAATGTCATCACGAGGGAAAGACCATCGCAAGCAAGTGACGGGACCAGTCAGCATGCCCTTCATTGGCTTGCTAGAGACGGAAACAGCGTACTTGGACTCTTTGACGGTCATGGGGGCAGGTCTGGAGATATCACCGACGATAATAGGAGGTCGGACGCAGCGGGAACCGTAGCTCTGAACCCAGGCATGGGTGGTGAACGCATAACCGTTCAAGCGCTCACCAAAGTACTGAACCATGTCATTACGCTCCGGCTCGCCGTGGACGAAGACATCGAGGCCAAGCTCCTCCTGGATCTTGACGTTCTGCTTAATTTCCTCCTCAATGAACTTGTCATACTGCTCCTCAGTGATCTCACCCTTGGTGAACTTGTTTCGCTGGACACGAATCTCAGAGGTCTGAGGGAAGGAGCCGATGGTAGTGGTGGGGAAGAGGGGTAGGTTGAGCTTCTTCTGCTGAGCAGCAATACGGGCGGGGAATTGGGACAGACGCTCGTGGTCCTTGGCAGTGACCTTGGATTGGCGGTCTTTGACCTTGGGGTCGTTGGTGCGAGAGGAGGTGGCACGAGCCTGCATAGACTTGGCGTTGGCCTCAAGCTGTTCACGGACGGCAGCAGGGCCCTCGGTGACGGCCTTGGCAATGATGGCAATCTCAACAGCTTTCTCAGAGGCGAAAGAGAACCAGTCAGCAACCTCAGGATCCAGCTTCTTCTCGCTGGCCAGGGTGTGGGGGGTATGAAGGAGGGAGCTGGAGGTGGCGACAATCACGCGCTCCTTGCCAAGCTTCTGGATAGCGGACTCCACGGTCTCAATGGCACGCTTGAAGTTGGTCTTCCAGATGTTACGGCCGTCAACAACACCGGCAGAGAGAATGGTCTTGGGGCCTAGGGCAGCAGCAACAGTCTCCAGTTGCTCAGGGTTTCGGACAAGATCGATGTGGACGGCATAGATGTCCTTGGGGAGCAGGTCCAGGTTGTGCACAATGTCGCCGAAGTAGGTCGTAAAGACAAGCTTGGGGATCTTGTCACCCAGACTGGCCAGCTTCTCATAGGTAGGCTTGAAAGCAGCCTTTGTCTTGGCAGGAAGGTCGAAGACGAGGGTAGGCTCGTCAATCTGCACGGTCTCAGCACCAGCCTCCTTGAGCTTGACAAGGAGCTGCTCGTAAACAGGCAGGAGCTTGTTGAGAAGGTCAATGGGGTCAACAGTCTGGCCACGGTCGGCTTTGCCAAGGTGGAGGAAAGAAACAGGACCAACAAGGACGGGGCGAGTCTTGATACCAGCCTCCTTGGCCTCGTTGAATTCAACAACAGCCTTGGGGCTGTCGACCAACTTAAAGGTCTGGTTGTTCTGGAGAGTAGGCTTCACGTAGTGGTAGTTGGAATCGAACCACTTGACCATTTCAAGGCTGGGCACGTCAATGCCACCCTTCTGGTGGCCACGACCCATGGCAAAGTATTGGTCAACGCTGTCAAGGCCATCCTTGGTGTATCGCTGGGGAACAGCCTGAGAAGCTAGTGTTAGAACCGTGATGCCAATAAGAATGAGCCAGAGGGGTAGTAAAAACTCACACCAAAGTCCTGAATGTGGCAGAGGACCTGGTCATACAGAGCGAAGTCGTTGCTGGGGATGACGTCGACGCCAGCATCTTTCTGGATCTTCCAGTGGGCAAGTCGCAGGCGCTTTGCCTCGGCAAGGAGGTCAGCCTGAGAGATCTTTCCACCCCAGTCTATGGCTAGTGTTAGATAATTGCTCTTCCTCTGTTTCCCATAATGACAATGGGTTGGTGGCTCAACTCACAGGCCTCGGTGGCCTTTTTCAGGTCACGGTTAACTCCCATGCGGGGGAAGCCGAGAATCGCAGACTGGACCATCTTGACGACTGGCTTTAGGCTCTCAAATATGTGATGGTGGTATTAAGAAGCTCTGGTGAGAAAACAGATCCAAGTTAGCTACAGCAAGCTCGCAAGTGTTCTTTCGCTACTGCTGGCGAAAGATAAAATACACGCACGCGGTAGATCGGGGTGGACGCCCGATGAGGGGTATGAAGGAGATGATGCTAACCTCGAAGATGTAGAGCCTTGGATGCCACAGTAGATCGACACCTAAGACGACTCTCTGTGAAGGGGGATAATAAGGGGGAAGGGTATGGTGAAGAGCTTGGGGAGAGGGAAAAGGAGGAAAATAGACGAAGAGAACTGGGAGGGGAAGAAATAAAAAGAAGAGCGGCGATCAAGACGACAGCTTGGCGGAAACACGGCTAAAGCGACAAGCGTCAGACGAGAAAAAATGGCGCCGAAAGCGGGGGAGGGGTTAAGTGAGATGGGACCACTAAACACGTATCGCCCATTTTTTCACCACGTATCGCCCCTTAGTCCTAATCCGGCAAAGTATCTTTATATATAATTTTTTACAGCTGCGTTGTTTGCAGAGCGATTTGTTTGAATTGGTACGGTGTATGGAGGCAAAACAGGGTGATTACAGGGAAGATAATAGGCTTTGTGAAAGTTAAGCGCAGACTTTGTTGATTTATGTTGTGTTAGATTACTCTGAGTTTTTTAGGGTGCGACTCACGTGGTCGCGAGTCGCTGTTATTATTGCGTGCTTTTGCCGGCGTGTAAGGTCATGAATCACCTCTTAAGCTAGTAGATTTAACGTATTATGATGCGTGTACACAGTGTTTTTAGAATTATGTGTTACTGTTAAATTAGCTAGGTACGGCTATTAATTGTGTTATTAGTGGGTCCTGGTGATTAACTAGCCTTTTTTTTATTTTTTTATTATAATTTAATATATAATTTTTACTGTAAAGATACCAAGGAAATTTCATACAGCCACACAAGGCTGCAAGGCTACTACCGTGCCACACAACACCACTATAAAGAATTTCACAATAGTAGCACAATTTCAACCTTTTCAACACACAACGCAACGCAACATCACAACGCAACCCTTCTTATCAATACCTTCAATTTGCCCTGCCTGTCATGTCATCCTTTAATTTACAGCCATTTTATACGACCGCAGAAGAAGCTATCAACGCTATTACCGCCTAACAAGCCAGCGAGGGATTTGTAGCGGTCAAATCTGGTGGCAGCTATTCAAAGCGGAAGGCAACAGAACCAGCACAGCGGCACATAATAAGGCTATGAAATTGAACAGACGCAAGCCACACCAAATTTGTATGAGTGGAGCGTCCTTCCAAATTAGGACTAAGGGGCGATACGTGGTGAAAAAATGGGCGATACGTGTTTAGTGGTCCAGTGAGATGAGAGCATGGGCGCGTCAATAACTTGTTACTCCGTGCATAGCAGCTCATGTGCGCTCGGTACTCCGTACGGAGTACCAGACTCGAGCAGTGACTGGCAAACCCGGCCAGTTTCGAAGATCCGTTCTCCGTACCAAAATCTGGTCGCTGACGGGTACGATTTCCCCCCTTTCCCTGTTTGTCGGTCCTACCTACTTAGAATGAACGACGATCCGGCCCAACCAGCCGACACTCGTTGGCCCTTCTCTTGAGTTGTGGTCCGGCTTCCTTTTTTTCTGTCCTGTCCTGCGCCATGCAATGTTGGTTGCCCGAGGCCGATATGTGGCGAGCGCTGCCACTCTCTGCTCCTCCTCATCGCTGGCTACCAGACGGAGCATGCGGTACAAGAATGCAATTCCGGCTTCTGCGTACTAAAGTATGCGGTCGATAACTAAGCTGGCGACGTCTCCACTTGAGCCCAGGGAGGCGATGGAGTAGTGTGCTAATAAGCATCAGCAGGCATTCATTTTCGAGCATGGCAGTTGACGCCTTGCTAAATCAGGAATTTGCCGAGCACCACCCATGGTGAATTAATTGCTCGGGACCCAGTCAATTCACAACCGATGTGTAATGCACTCCATACGAAGTACCAAAAACCAAAAAGGACATGAGAAAGCACCACCTTCCAGCCATCGACGTCAGTATCACCAGGATTTCATTCCCACATCCTGTCCGGCATGCCAGAGTGGACCGACTGTGCTATTATCTCTTTGAAGCTCGAGCACCTTGTGGAGTGCCAAGCCCAGGGGTCAAAGGCCAATCAGACAGCTTTAGTTAAAGGGTACTTTTATTTACTAAGAAATTAGGTAATAATAATTATACTAGTAACCTTATTAAATATAAAAAGCTACTTATTATACTAATTTTATCTGCCTAATAAAAGCCTTAATTAGGGCTTACTAGCTTATAGTTTTTAGTATTAATTATTTTAGTATTAGTAATATTTTTTATATACTTATAAACTTTAATTCCCTTAATAAATAACTTTATATAGTATTTATTAGTAAAATTTTTCTTTTAAAGAACATATACCGGTTATATTCCTTACTGTGTATAGGGTAGCGGGGCCCCCACAAGGTGCTCGAGCTTCAAAGAGATTCGAGCTGGTTGCCTCTTTCTCTACCCGTTCGTGTTCTAATTGCAGCGATTGTAGAGATGCCACTTGCTCCTAGGATCCGCCATTTCCAACCTGGCCAGAGTTTTTTTACTCGTATTAGATGTGTATGTGTGTACATGTTATGTATGATGGCTAGGCAAGCATAAAACCCCCCTTTGGCTCCTGGCACAGAACTTTCTCGAACTATGGAACAGACGATGCGTCCATCATCTCTGCGCCTGCTCCGCATACAACATTTGCTTCGACATGCCGGGCGCTTTGGCTTACCTATTTAATGCTTCTGTCATTAATACTCTGTATCCTGTTTGTAGCAAGACCCTCGCCCCAAAATACGGTGGCCAGTGCCGTACCCGTATGCAGTTTCGAGATGTGACAAAGGCACCGGCTCGGCGAGTTCCGTTGCTGGCTAGACTTGCGTATTCAACCCGCTGGTATCAAGGAAGGAGTGCATCTCATGACGAGGGCAGGCGATTGATGCGACAGATTGGTAGAAGGTATGGGTATCGGTGTTATTCTGATTCTTAATTTTCTCCAGTTAACATGATGACGAGGTTCGGACCAAGCAGATTCTGGTGAAATCAAACTCCCCGGACACAATTCGTTCTATGTATATGCCGTCACACAAAATGTGCATTCGTCCAGTTATGCCCATGTCTAGCCTTCGAGGTGTCCCGTTTTGGAACTTGTCACGGATGCAATCACCGTCTGTTGTCTCTAGTTGCTTTCGTCGTCACGCCTCATCGGACAAAGCTCCCAAGAGCAATGGCAGCCATCTGCTCTGGCTTCCCATCAACCTTGACCTTCTCAACGCGTATCCAAGAGTCGCCAGGGATGCCAATCAAACACGAGCCATCCTGTTGAAGCACCACCTTCATCTCACGCCGCCCCGCCCTCTTCTCATCTGCACCCTCATGCTCGCATACCAACCTGCCCTCCCCGCCTTGCCGCAACACGTCTCCCTGTACCACTGGCCCAGCATCCAAGAAAATGACTCTCTTCCTGACGCCCCTATCACTAACCGCATGTGTCCACACCGACCCCAGCACCCTAACCCTTCTAGCAAACTGCTCTGCCGTCCACGCAGACCAGTGTATCTGTCCGTCTGCCTTTGTAATCTTTGGTGCGTGGACGAGTTGCTTGCCTTGCAGCGCGGCCGCTTTCCAGCCCACGTCCTCCCGGGGCGCAACATGAACACCGTCGCGCAATCCCTGGATCAGCATCTCTGCGCCTTCAACCGCCGCAGCAGACAGGACCTCTTGGAACGAGGCGTCCGGCGCGATGGGTATGCCCGGCGCGGGGCTCTGCGCAAGAATAGTCCCGTGGTCAAAGGCCCTGTCATCCAGAGTCTGTAGCGATACCCCCATGTGCGTGTCTCCCCTGAGGAGGGCGTGGTGAATTGGCGCCGGGCCGCGGAGGCTGGGGGCTTCTCATTAGTAGTGCTTCACTTGGGTGCTGCAGGGTGAGCTGTCTAACATACTCGGGCAACAAGGACGGGTGGACATTCAGACCTCCGTATTTGGCGGATGCCAGGATCCGAGGGGGGACGAAGAGCCCGAAAGACACGACAATGACTAGATTTGTGCCGTCGGGGAGCTTGTCCATGTTAATGTTTTTTTTTCAGCCTGTCAGGCGGGTGGACTTACATCCCATTTCCGAAACGTCTCCCGCTGGTGGATTGGGAGGTTGAGTTGTTCTGCGAGTATTTTGCAGGGCACTACGATATCAGCACGCGGTATTGTAGAGGCATCATGATGCACCACCGCCTCTGTTCGCAGACAATACTTGGCTGCATGTACTTTTTACTCCCGGAGGCTTGAAAAACAAACAGGAGTGCAGTAGAAGAACCTCGAAGCCCAGAAAATAAGATAGAGGGGAAAACGACGGGGGAGCAGAATCCTCACCTTCACGAACCGTCCTGAGGCCCCTTCCTGTCCTCCTGCCCGGCAATACCATCACATCCAGTGCCTCTACCAACGCCCTGTTCTTCACATGTTCGCGGTGCAGGGCCCTCAGGGACTCGCAGCTGAATGCGTCCGAGCCACAGAACAATATCCTCAAGGGATCCGAGGCCTTGCGCGAGCTGTGTCGCCGTTGAAAAGGGGCGTATGGCGGCGGGAGGCGAAGGCAAGCTTGGGCCCTATTTATGAGGCGGAACATGGCGGACGGATCATATTTTCTATTTCTACCTGTATGTTTGGCGAAGAAGTGGATCCATCGTCTGGCGGGTATGAGGGTGCCAGTTGGTGATGACTGTGCGTGGTGAACTTGGGAGTCGTGTGGTTGATGTTCGCGTTTGGCGAGAAAGCACGGTTATGTGCATAATCGGACCCCTGACGAACGCGGATGGGGCGTGAATTCGCCAGCCCATCCTGCATTTGACGCACATGTTCCTATCTTATTGACGAGTCCGATGCTGTATGCTAGGAAGTAAAACCAGTTTACACTATACTTACCGTCTTTTTTCTTTTGTTTTTTTCTTATTTGATTTTCTTTTCCTTTGTTTGTTCATCCTTCGAGCTGGCCATCCAAAGGTCCGCCAGAGCAAGAAACAGTTGACTCGTACCTCTCCATACCGCATGTAACTGTACAGACAACCCTATGTCTGAAAAATACTATAGCCAGAGAAATGGAATCCACATGTCGCGCCTGGGGGGCAGTTTTTTTCCTTCATTTTTTATTATTGTTGTTTCTATTTTGATTTTGTTCCCCAACTTCACAGAGCATTGAGCAGGGTAGGTCCCTGTAGTGGCGGGCTTCTTGCAGTGACATCCCAGCGCGCTTTGCTATGCTCTCGAACGTACATATGTAAGATGGTTTCAAATGACCTGCGCCGTGTTTCTTGGCCAGAACTATTACGAAAAGATTCCTACACTGGGAATATATCTTAATTTTAAAGGCTACCCTAGATAGGATCAGTATTGTGGTTGCGAGTGTCGCAGTCACCACATCGAACCTGCCGCTCCAAGTACGTAGGCCCAGAAGCTCGAAACCAGCCGACAGGAAACACTTATTTTTCTTTTCAAATCGCAATGCTTTGGTACGATATTCTATATCCTTTACAGCGAGGAACAATCCGATCCTGGAGAAAGGTTCTATACAAGGGACTTATCGTCTTGACCAAAGGCTAATGTTTCCAAGCCCCCGTTGCACCAAGGGTGATGATGATACACATAAGAGGTGATCAACGGTCCCTAATGCCGGTCTATTGCTTTTCCAAAATCGGCAGGGTAACACGATAGCTTTGGACTCTTGTCAAATGAAGCTTTAAACAGCCCGCCATCAGCGTCTTTGTGTCCCTAGGATAACCCAGATGGCCTCGTTCATCCTTCTGCAGGCATAGTCTCAAACCGCTCGTCCATCACAGCTGGCAGAATCGAGACAAGTAACTGGCGCCTAAGATGAGGGGAAGTAATTTGCAGAGGTAGTCGACATGCTATATTGAAGATGCTTTGGCCGGTTCGTCAATTTTCGCCCGGGACTTTCCGTCGCCTTCAAATTGGACAGAAGCGGACAGGCACAAATAAAGCTACGGATAGATTCCGCATTACTGGCATCTCTTCCCGACTCGTCGTGTCTTTGCCTGTCCGATATTAATCCAAGCAGGCCGACAATTATGCTACTCCACGTACCGTGATTTCCAGTAAACGGGAAGCAAGTTGAACTCACGGGTTTGAAAGAAACTCTTTCCAGCTCAGAGGCCAACGAGAAGCATGTATTTGACCATCTGAAGGAAGAAAATGCCATCCATATTCCTTGGGAGGAGCCATCCCCCAGCCACCTCGCCTTCGTCTTGAACATGATGTCTTTCTTCTCCGAGACTCCAGCACAAAAAACAGCCTATTTGAAAAGAAGAATGAGGAAGCCCGCCATGAAAACAATAGTCCGCCCGATATCCAGTCCAGCAGCGCCGGCAACGCCAATATCCCACCACCATCATCACCCTTCAACACTCCAATTGCAGCCCACTGTCCAGCACTCCCCGACCAAATCAACCTCCCAGACCGGTTGCTCAATGACGACCACGCTCCCCACGTTCACGGCCGCCCTCCTACCCAAGCCCGTCAATCGGCCCTCCCCAGCAAGTATGTACGCCTTCAAATCACCAGATCCCCCCGATTTCCCCCTAGCCAGATACATGTGCTCGCCGGGACTGATCTCCTCCACCGTCAGCCTCAGCACAGAGTCTTCGTCCCGCGTCCCCTCCCACCCCTTCACTTCAGACAGCCACCCCTGCAACTGGGCAGCATGTCCGCCGGGCAGATATTTCGCGCCGCGATGTTGGGGCGAGAACGCCCCGTGGAGGACGGGAAGCAACGTCTCATTATCAGTAGGCTTGAAGCGTGGCGCCGGTTGAAAGACGGGTTGGTGTCGACGGCTCGGCCCCCCGTACTCCCCCGGAGACTCTGACCCGTTGCCCTCTGCTGGGGATGCGTGTCCCCGCGCAGGCGTGGCCGCCTGCTCCGGAGGACTACTATCGAGGGAGCTCGACGGCGCGGGGGGCGAGATAGATACCCTTCGCCTCTTGGCCTCCCTCCCATCCGGCGACAGGGGCGACGACTCGGTGCCGGGGAGGACACCCTCGACATCCTCTCCTGAAGAGTACTGGCTTTGAGAAAGGCGCTCCGTATCCTGCGACATCAAGTCGTCGGACTTCATCTCAATGATATCCTGTAACCGGCTTCCCTTGGGCTCCGCCTCGACCCGTGGCGACGAGTCACACGACTCGTCGCCGTCTTCATCGACATCCTCGAGGTCATGCGCCCGGCGCTGCGCATGCTGCGGTACAGAGGACGAGCCGAAGCGCGGCGTTGACTGGAACTGCTGCGATGCCTGCGGCGCCGGGGTTTCTGAGGCAGATGGCCGTTTGGCCAGCAGGAACCGCCGCGGAGTAGGTGTCTTGGCGAGTTAACAACGAGTCGTTCTTTCTGGACACTGGCATCTTGGAAGACGAGGTTGGATCTGAAAGGGCGGGCTTACCGTGGGTGGCGGGTTCATGCTCTGTAGTTCACGTCATGGTGCTTTAAATGCTGTCCGGTTTGGTGGTGCGTGAGAGCAAAGTGCCCGACTTGGTGAATGGTCCATTAATGCCGCGACTAGACCAGGCGTCATTCTGCCTTGCGCGGCACCATCTCGTGAGCGAACGACGCCATGCCTGAATTTGCATATTTTGTCTGTTGCCTACAATTATTCATGACTTCTAGCAATGTTTCTTTTTTTTTTTTTTTTTTCTCACCTCTGAGGCTTCCTACAGTCATCCATCACCTCCGGCAGCAAAGTAGCGGCAGAGGCTGCAATCACCAAACTAGTTCACAGGCACATTCCATGTTACATTTATTGTCATTGACCATGTCAGGCAGGCCTTTCTCCCTATATATACTAAATGCTCTGGACATGGGATTTCAGGCATTCGCTTCTCCCCAAGGCTGAAGGAAACAATGGAACAAGAAATATGCCAGTCTAGGCGCGTCGCAATGAAATATTGTGCCTACAGCGAGCGACGAGCGCTGCGGCCACATGATGATGCCGCGGTCCATGTAAAACCGTAAAAAAAACTTCAATAAGACATGTAATGGACAAACGCCGATTTTGTGCATCTCATCGTCATGCAACACCTCCCTCATTTGTGGCCCAGAACCAAATCGAAGGGCTGCAAACCATCATAAGTACACTGCATCCTTCACCTGCAACCAGGGAAGACGTGACACTTCATAAACACAGTGGAATAAAAAACACCTTGGCAAAATGTAGTACTAGAAACACTGCCCTTCTCGAGTATCCCGTTTAGACGCGAGTGCTGCATGTAGAAAAATTTGAAATGAATTTGAAGAAAACGAATTGGGTATCCCAAATGGACAAAGTTGATTTCGCCATGAAAAAAAGAAGAGGAATGAAAAGAATCAAATCAATCGCGAAAGATTAGGTATTGCGAGTTTTGGGACGACCACAAGTATGCTACAAGTCTCTTAGCCAATAGCCAATTCGAATTCAGACTTGTGGCCGGGCTTTGTGGGTTGCGTATTTTTAATGGGGTGAAGCATAACCGACGGCAAGCAGGGGCGTCCATGTTTCTTCTCCCAGTCGATTCCGCCAATATTGGTGTCAACCCAGCCCATCCAGTTGTTGTAGAGTCGGTTGGGCGGCTCGGCACGGTAATACCAGGTGGTACCTTGGAAACGACGCTCCCTCCCCCAGCCAAACGGTGACCCACGGCCGCCAGATTCGCCATCAGGTCCAGGGTTGAACCAGTTATTGAGGAAGCCTCCCTTCCAATCACGATCCATAAAGACTGGATGGGGAGCGAAGACAGTCTTCAAGCCGTGAAGCAATGCAACCGTCTGCGCAGTCATCTCAGATGCGACATGCTGACCACGCAAGTTCTCAACGTGCATGATGTCGAGGAGACGTTTTGAAATTCGGGACTGGGTGACGATGGTTGTGCGTCGAGGTAGGTCGGTAGACTTGTGGTTTTCGTCGCTGTAACCCCAAACATGGTTTGATATAATCCACTGGCTGTCAACAGGATCAAAAATAGGGCCAACACTAATGAAATCGGCTTCTTCACCAACACCCCATTCATAGTTATCCTCTTCATGAGAAGCCACCGGAGGTTTAGGACCGACAGGCTTGACGAACGGCAGATTAGGAGGCCCCCAAACCGTCTTGTTGCCCCGCTTCTTTGCAACGTCTTCGCGGAAAGAGGTGTCATAGTCGCCGTGGTATTCGGGAATATAGTAGCGCTCGTTTCTCTCCCACAGATATTTCCGAGGCTGTTTCTTCGCAAACGCGGACAGTTTCTCGAGAAGGTCGTAGTGGTGACCGGTGTATCGGAAATCCATCTCCCAGTTCCAAATGTGATCGAATTGCGGGTGGTCCTGACTGAACTTTTGAACCGAAAGCCACTGAGCGCTGTGAACAGCTCGTGCATACTCGTCTGTCAACGCGGGATACACATCCCAGACCTGATGGTCGCTCCACAAGACTGTCATGCCATGGAATTCTGCAGGCACATTCTCCTTGAGGACAGTTTGGTACAGTTCGTCATCATCAAAAATGGGAAGACTTTGATTCTTGGAGTGGACTAGGAGGAAAACCTCATATTGTCCACCTGTCTTGAGACTGAGTTCGCTGACCAGGGCACGAATGACTTGTCTGTCGTTGTCGGTGTACTTCATTCCCGTGTACGATCGAAGCAGGAGAGCCGTTCGAAACTCCTTGGTGATCTGGCCCTGTTTCGCACCAATGGATCTCCCCTTGATTTTCGGCGCTTCTGTCTTGATGTACTCGGACCGGGTAGCCTTCTGATGATTCTCGGTGTAGTTGTTAAGATAGGGATTTTTCTTGCTCATAGTCATGTCGAATCGGGCGGCATTTTGCTTCAAACAGTGCTTCTGTAATTCACCCCAATTGACGTTATCCCAATCAATAGGTTTATACGATCCCCCGACCTTCTTCTTCATTTCCTGGAGCCCGTACTGGCCTAGGCGGGAATCACGTTCCCAGCACAAATTCGGGTCAATACCAAACAAGTCGTAGCCCCCAAACTTGGTCTGAGGCCATCTCGCTGGGCGACCGCGGAAAACAAGCAAGTCTTCAACGAATTCGCCGGTGGGACCCTTGCAGGGCACATAAGGGCCATGGCCATTCTTCTTCCATTCGTCGCCATTGTAGTCGGGATAAGGGTTAAATCGCACAGGCTGATCATCATTGAACTTGAATTTCACGTTCGGATCCTCACGAAGGCACTTGCTTTGTTCTTCGGTTCGATTGTCTTTTTGTATCAGCTGGTTGAGTGTGTTACCATAAACTAGGTTGGAGTTTGCGAGTCTGGGTGTATAAGATTAGCACCTTGACAAACAAAATTGGCAATCAAGGGACCGTCAAACACGACAGATGAAAACGTACTTTGCAGTGGTTTTGTAAGCGTAACGCCACATCTTTCGCAAGTCTTTCTCGTGCTGCAGTCTGGCAACATCACCGGCTTCTCTGTGCGTGCCGTCGGTTTCGTAGCCAGGCAGGACGTCGTCGTTGGTCTCCGGATCGTCCGGGTCGGACCAATAGGTCAGATCATCAATGTCGATTTCCCAACCCGCACGAGTACCAGTAGGTTCCTCATGGTGATGGCCAGGGTCAGGCTTGAGTGCAACGTCTTCCGGCCTGGGGCTGGAGAGCGGTTTTTCGTCGTGTTGATTGTTTTTCGTGTCTTTTGCTGAGCCTTGCTTGACCGTGTTTCCACCCTTAGTGTAAGGGACAATGTGCAACCTCGGCGACGGACCGCTAAAGACTAGAAAATAAAGCGATAGTGCCGCCATAATGATGATGAAGACCGACCTCGGTCTTAGCCGAGACAACATGGTTCGTCGTCCTTGAGGGTTTAGCATCTTATCCATTGACCCCCTGCCAAGATATGGCATAGAGGACGAGATCTGACGTAAAACCCTCACCGGATATGATCAGGAACTAATCGACTTGAGTTTCTCTGTATGGCGGAGATGGAGAAACAAGAACCAGGCTGAAAGTTGAAATGGGCCCGACCTTCGTTTTCGTTTGGATGTGGTGAGTTAAACAAGACGAGTGACGATGGATGGGCTCGAATCCTAGGAGGCGAGGAAGCTTCTATACCTTGGTGGTGGGCTGATAGAAAGTCGACTAGGCGGGACAAAAAGCCAACACAGATTGCAAAGAGATATTCGACAGCCTGCTGGTCGTAATCCCGCGTTGGTCGGGGTTGGTGAAATAACAAACTCTTGCTTGACTGCAAAAGCTCGTGGTCTGCAAATGGAAAGTGCTCTCAACTGTGACAACAGCGAGGCTCAAAGCCCCAGGGCGGTGTCTTGGCTCAACCACGGGGCGTTTCAAATCCTGAAGTCGGGAGTTAGGAGAATTAATGGAGCATTATCTTGAGAGATCAGTTGAGACAAGTCGAGTCGAGTCTGTCATGCGCGCGCACGGAGTGAACTCGGAAATGGGGAACTGGGTACGGAATACCCGATTCGATTTGATAATCCCAGCACCGCAAACGAGAGGGCCTCACGAGGGATGAGAGTAAAAGAACGGAAAGGGCCAGAGGCGAGTCGAAGCTGACGCGATGGGAGAAGCGAGAGGCGTCAACGCAAATGACGAAGAAGAAAAAACAGACCGCCAAAAAAAGAGACGAGCTACAGCAGTGACGGGAGCAGCGAAAAGTGACCAGACCAGTTGGCCAGGCAAGCCAAGTCCGGTTGACTTTCAGGAGGGGGTGCGCACTCGGGCCGCTCAAGTGCCAGGTGTAGAGTCAACTGGTGCCACCAGCCGAAAGGGGGAGTGGCGAAGGGGGTGGGTGCATGTGGTGTCTTTAATGGTGCTTGGTGACGGCAGTGTCTGGTTTGACTGGCCGCCAACATGCATACATGACTGGAGCTTGTTTGAGGTTGCTCAAGATGAAGACGGGTTCAATGGCTTGGTTGTGGCTGTAGCGGATAAAATGATATACATGAGCTCGTATGATACATGAGGGTTATATAAATTTATACAAATGAATTAAGTGGGAGAAGGTGGGACCAGTGGTATTGGGTGAGCACCTGCACCGACCTAATAGTATCATGTCTTGCATCCTTGGCTTGGGGTTTACGAATACTACAATACGGAGTAGACGCCACCTCAATGCTGCCAAGTTGGGTGGCCATCAACTACTGGCGATCTAATGGTATGTATGTATGTACGTACGTACGGAGTACTATATATATACAAATACCAGGGTGGAGCAGCGTCCGCAGGAGAGCCAAGAGCAACTCCGAACTTTAGAGGCTAACATGGAACCAATTGACATGGATGCCGGACCTGGAGAATCTGTGATCTGGATCCACCGGCGTCAAATGCTAGAAGCGGCGCTGGGGTGCTGGGAGATAAGGAACGGCGATGAAGCAGTTGTAAAGGGAAAAAATAAAGACGGCCTGGACGTGCATGGACCTACCGTAATAAGACCTCCTCTTGTCGTCATCTGCAGTTCAGCAGTCTGCGTGTCGTCACCCACCAGACTCGAGCGCTGCGTGCTGTCGCCACCGATTACAAAGCGCCAGGCGGATCATTGAAGTCTACGGAGTAGCACGCATGGACAGGACCTTCTCAAACACTCCGGTGGGCGTTGATTCATGCTGCACAGAGCAATACAGAGCGATGATGAGCAAACAATTGAGTCATTTCCCTCAACTCCGTGTTGATACTCTGTTGATCTGTGTCCACCGGCGCGGAGTGTGCTACGCCCCTGGGCGGCGCCATGTTTGTTCCAGGGCGTACGCCGTACTGAGTGAAGAACAAGGCAAAGTGTTTCTGGTGCAGCCTTGACCAGCATTTGACAACTTGTTGATTACGGAGTATTCCCACCACCAATCCCCATCGCGTGGACAGCCAAGCTTGTCAGCAGTCGAAATTGTCAATCCAAGATACTGCTAGTACTACCTCGAATTTGGCGTGGGTCGCTGCTCCTGGCTGCACCACTTCTTTCCCGTCACCGGAGTCAGTCTGGTCTGGTACGGAGTTGTAGTACGTGTCTGGTAATCTGTCCGTCCTTTAGGCTTTTCTATTCTGGTCCAATAACCAGTGCAGCATAACATGCCTGTCGGGGGCGTTCAAAGGCCCTGCTGGCCAAGAATCGCCAACGACTTGGCAAGAACGCATCAATTGATTCTTGGTATCCACTACGTCATTTTGTGCGACCAGACTTGTTTTCCATTGGCCTTCCCTCGGGCTCAAAATTTTGCAGCTTGCCGCCGGACGATTGCACAATGGCTTCAATGTTCCAGTTCTCTTGGGCCCAAGAGTCCAAGACTGCGTGTAACAGGGGCCTTTGTGGCGCGCAGAGCAGCGGGTTTTCCCTCAGGGGTGTGGGCAAGCAATTTAACTACCTAGGTATCTACCTGGGTAGGGAAATAGAGTCAAGACGGCGCTCTCTTGGCGGCACCTGTTGATTTAACCAGGAGGCTTGACAGATTTTGCGACATTTTCGACATTTGAGAGCGTCAGGGCAAATGGCATCACGTCAGGCCGCTGCAGCCGAAACCGGGCCAGAAGCCGACGTCGACATGTTGAAGTGAAGAGGCTGGCATCACCCTTGTACCACTCCCGCAACGGCCAACGGTCAAACAATGAACGGTCAATCTTGATTCTTGACGGCCTCCCCCCCCCCGGTCCATTGAGACCCGGCGTGTGGTAATAGCAAAAGGCATTTATTTGGACGACCAGGGTCAGTCAAACCACCCGTGCTTTGTGGTCGTAGTACTCGTTCTTGCTGCCGCTCGAGGTTACAGGTTACAGGCCTGGTGGGGCAGGCGGCGCAACAAGGTCAATCCATATCCACAAGTTTGCAACAAACGCAAGAAGCATTGAGCACCTTCTCCGTCGCGGTAACAACAGGGAGAATCCCGGTGCCTGCCTGAGGCCATTCAGCCTCAGATCACCCAACTTGGCATCCTCCTACGTACGATTGTCTCTTCTTCAAATCATTCGCCCCCCTTCCTTGCTCCGTAGATCGCCTGCTCCTGCTCCGTACGCAATTGATTGGCGCTTTCCGCTTCCCCTTTCACAGATCTCCTGACGCCGCGGGAATGCACAGTGCAACAGATGGGTCAATCCGTGGGTCGTGCGCGGCCCATGGTCATGTTCCAACCCGCTCAAAGTCGCCGGGAAGAGGCGAGATCGACGTCGGCCACTGAGGTCTCATCCCTCAATCTGATGGTTCCTGCCCATCGCCCCCAAAACCTGCTGTTGACCAAATACACACGTACACTGTACGTACAGTCTGCCCCCTGAATTGTTCTTCATGCGTGACCTGACAGGGTAGGGGGTAGTGTACTGTTTATAATCAATATACTATTTTATGCTATATGGGGTGGAGAGAAATTATAAGGATTATAAACAAAACTTAAATATATTAAAAGACAGTTCAGGTCACGAATCATTCAAGGGTTGGACTGACAGGCCACCAACGGCAAACATCGGTACGGGGGGGTTCCCTACAATGCAACACATTTGGACATTTGACTGGTACAGTTCTTCTATTTGAGCCATCGATCGCCCGTGTTGATCTATGCATCGACGATACCCGCCGCAAAAGGAAGGACAAAATTCACTACCCAGGTACCTACCTAAGTAGGTATTAAGTAGTTTGGCCACTGGTTCTCACGTGCTCCATGGGGCTTCTCTCAACAATATCGAATTGTTGGAGGCGTCAACGGTCGGCCTAGTAAACTCATCGAGTCTTGTTACGACGCCCTCTGTAGAAAACAAGCTTTAGCTCCTGAGGATACTAATCAGTCTGAAACTATAATATGGATTTACGACGGGCGCAGACTCGCAATAAACCCACAGCAAACGAACAGACCCCACGTGCGCTCCATGCACATGGTGGTTTGTACCCGAGATGACGACTTGAGACAAAGCCACGGATTTGGGCTTCATCCGAATGTTCAACAACGTCACTCAAACAAAAAAAAAAAGGCATTGCCTGGAGGCGCTTTGCGTACGGCATTTAGCGTTGACGGTCCTCAATAAGAAGACCAGTACGATGCCGGCGATGGCTAGTGACGGGACTGAATCGGCATCAGTTGTCAACGTCTTAGAGACCCGACACGAAGAATCCAACGCCACAACTGCTGGCGTAGCTATTCTTGGCAACAACATATGTACACACATACGTAGCCTCGAGAATGCCCGCCATTCAACGCCACTCTGTCATCAAACATCATGTACATAGACAACAGCGGCCTCGGATAACACCGCCAACAGCACCATCGTGACATGACATTCTCCAAAAAGAAACCAATGATCAAGTCAACACCAATGAAAATCAATCTCACACCTCTCCTAGCTTGGCTCAAGGTAGAGAGAGTTCGACCAGTCTCAATTACTCGCCTCCTGGATCACACTCTACAGACGAAAGAAGTTGCATCAGAATAGTTGTCTTGCAAGACCTTGGTTCGCGCAGCCCTCCACAGATGGTCAGCACAAATGCCGACCAACAACTTTGTACAACCAACCGCCGTAAAGGTTCACAGCAGAGGTTCTGTTCCATGCCTGGGACCATTTCCCTGTCCAGCTACAGCAAAATATGCCGAGATGCATGCATGCAGCCCTTTATGTAGACTTGTCATCGCCTGTCTAACAGACTCTCGTGTTGTACTACAGTGCCAAGTGTCTCGTCATACCAGTCATGATTTCACAAGAGGCCATCGCCAATCTGCCGCCCAATGAATATTCAAACTATCCGGGAGCAACAGCCATAGTCCTGAGTATTTGTGGGCTGGGGAATAGTCACTTGCCAGTCTGACCTACAGTTTGGCACACAGCTTACAAGGTATGTTTCGACGTCTTTGGACTTCAGGATGCCAGACAAAAGACGTAATTCGCATATGTGACTCGTGCGCTTCCCTGATACGGACTTTCTGATATTTGTTTAAACTACATCCAAATTGACGACACATCAAAAACGTCGAGTAGAGTACTAACTACAGAAGAGACGCCAAGTATTAATTTAAGAGGCATGTTAAAAATGCTTCCCCTAATATATACATATATATAATCTTTCTCGCTGTTTGCTTCTCAAAGCCCACACATGACACGAGTCAGGAGGACGGGCGATTAGAATATAATGCATCGCTCACGCGACAATCTTCTTTATTAGACGAAAGTCATTGTGGTATCACTGTCTACATGTTGCCAGAGTTCCTCCACCCCCCCAAATGCATTGAACAAGTACATATAAACACCGCGTCCTTGATCCAGAACCCTTATTCAAATGTTACCGAAATTTATGGACCGATACCCTCAGGCCCCCGGGTTGGCTCATGTCTTCCAAAATATCGCAATTTTTCCAAACGAATCCTGCCAGGACATACCGGTTCCTGCAAGGAGGATATATAAAATACGACTAGTCCGATAACTTGGAACTAGCGCCCCAAAATATTACAATGATGCATTGCAAAGAATATTATGGGCAATGAACCCAGAAGCGGTACGGCTCTTTGCTGTAAAAAAAAAAACCGAACAGACTATAAAACTAATAAGTGATGATATGTTCATGACAAATCATAGGTCTCGTGGCGGGTCAGCTATTGGCCGAAGTCGCCTAATAAATCAATTCATGTGTCTTCACAGGTTCATGTTGCCTAAGCGCGTCATGCGCTTGTTCATTTTGAACTGTTGACCTGCACCAACCCCGAGACGTCCTCCATTCGGAATACCGTTGGGCGGCGGTGGAAGAGGTCTTCCTCCTTGTCCAAGACGAGGTGCTGGACGCGCCGGAAGTCCCTGTGGAATTCGAGTGCCAACGGCGCCACGAGGCGGTCCGCGTCGATATGGCTCTGGCTCTAAAGACGCCGCTGGTTGTACGCGTTGCCACGCATCTCGCTCACAATAAGAGCGGCCGTCAACCTCAAAGTACCCTTGCGACAGAGATACGCCGCAGTCCAAGCATCGAAAACAGCCGACGTGGTATTTGACCCTCGCCTCATCCTCAAGGTATTGTCCTTCAATACCACGTCCGCAATCGCCACAGAGACTGCCGTTGAGTTCGTGGTAGTGCTGCTCGCAATAGGGTTTGTCGCCGAGAACGTAAAAGACGGACGACGAAAATGGCTCGGCACAAGTGGTGCAAACAAAGCAAGCCTTGTGGTACTTGCCAGTTAATCTACCGTCGGCTGAGGAAATGCTCTTGCCCTGAATGGCTAGTCCACACGACTTGCAGTCACCCCGAGATGGAAACGCCAGCCTCTTGGGAGAACCCTGTCGTTCCCAAGTATGCTGCCGTTGCGGAGAAGTATGTTCCGTTAGTCCATGGTCGTTTCTGAAACCCGCCGGCGTGTAATTGCTATCTTGAGTCGGAGAGGTACTATATCCTGCTCTAGAAGGGGGTCGTCGTGGGTCGTTCCCTAACGCACCGTCAAACTGGGTGGTTGGAGAGAGACCATACGGGGACTCGACCATTCGCGGAGAACGTGTCCGTGAAGCAGCTGCAAATGGATCGATGCGCAAGTCTTTGGGCTTAAGCTTGTCCGTCGAGAACCCGGCTTCATTCATGTCGCGGTTTTGGTCAGCTTGATAGATTTCTGAGCTAGTTGGGCTCGTTACGGCAGTGCTTCGGCTTGCGCGGCTAGAGTCGGAATATCCGACGGATGATGCTGAATCGGATGGCGTATGGTATGGATTCCCGATTCCAAATTCTGCGGCCAGATCAACGGAGCCCGCGTTTCTCAGGCTGTATTCTGGCAGCAAGCTTGTGCGAGGAGGAGGCTTGCGTGAGGTATCCGGGCCTATCGACCTCTTATACTCGTGTCCATGGCCTCCTCCGGTGCGTAAGCGCTCGGGATGAGACCCTGGCGCTGAAGTTACCCGCTGTGTCTGGAAGTAATTTGTTGTTGGAGAAAGCTTGGGATATGTTTCGGACCGGCTAAGCGTCGCCGAACCGTTTGAGTCCAGATTCTTTGGGGCTCCAAATCCCCCATATCCATCCTTTCGGGGCTGTCTCGGCGGCAGTGGCTCTTCTGAAGGAACCAACTTTTCGAGTGAGTCGTTTCGCTGAGGATATGAGTTCTTGGCTCTCATAGGATCAAACGGGCCTGGAACAGAGGTATTCATCCTAGCCATAAATCCTCCGCTTAATGGCTTATCAAAGTTTTCTCTGTTTGTTTCTTCGAATCCTCCATACCCTCCCGATCGTGTAGATGGGTTGGCAGACATTGGCGTCTCCCACCTGGCATCAATAGGTTGCCTAGAGCCGAAGGATTCATGGGCCCTGCGTGAACTCTCGCGCCTGTTGGGGTATACTGGGGACGCATCCCGCGATTCACTCGGCTGACTTACGGGGGTCAGTTGACCACGATGCATGTATGTTTGGCCTGGCAACCAGTCAGTGTTTTTGTCAAGCTTCCAGAGGGCAGCTTCAGCGACTTACCCATCGAACCTGTCTCTACGGGAGGTGGTGTGCCATGTTTAGGATAAGGCGGTTTGGAGAATTGGCTCTCAAATTCATCGATTGAATCCAAAGGTGGTGACACTGCCTCGTAATTAGCCCAAAGTTGCGCTGATGGAGAAGACGCCATATAACACACATTCTGCCGTTGGACCAGCACAGAGATGGTCTCCCATCATGGAAATTTCCACCTGATTACCGCATAATGAACATTTTATTGTCGGCAGAAACGTTGATTCCCTTGGCAGCGCCATGGTGGTGAACGGGCTCGGAACCCCAGAGTAGTTGCTGATGGCTCTCTTCAAGTTGTTCTCGGAGAACCTCCAACATGCAAAACACGCATTCGATATCTGGCAATAACACGGCAGTCGTCGGCAGCCGGAGAAAGGGAGGAGAGGAGAACTATCTTTCCAGAAAAACTTGCTTCATGCATGAGAAACAAAGAGTTTGCGAAAGCAAGAGAGGACTGATTCAGTCTCCCCGTCCCTGACACAGGTTGCCACCGCTGTAGCCAGGTGTGTCAACAACACGACGTCGATTGAATCAGTACTGACTAGGTCTAAAGACGAGGCGAAGTCGAAACAAAGAGGCTGACGCTGTTAATGCAACAGAACCGGCGGAGGCCGTGTTTGCAAGCAAGTCACTATGTTTCAATGGTCTAGCTGTCGATGTTTCCTACAGGCAACGGGATGCGCGTTTCTGCTTCAGCACCGAGCGACGGGATTTGTTGATTCCGACAAAACAGAAGCGATGGGTGAAACAGGCAGCTCATGGAAGCAGAAATGGAAGAACGTGCAATGACGATGCCATATGATGGACGATGTTTGAGAGATGGTCAGCAGCACTGGGAGGTGATGCACCTTGTGTCTCGAGTCTTGTCAAGGAAGGGCATGTATTCAAAGTAGTGGAACCCTGGCCGACCCCTGATCCGGCGGCTTCGCTTGTTCTCTTTAATACCGGCTCTAATCACCTTGAGTGACGGGCTTGCACTGGCCTGCAACGTCGGCCTCGAGTGGCGCCAACTCGTCGCCGGTTCGTGTAGGTAGGTGTTCAGGTCGAGTCCCGAACACAAACGTGACCTCTCAGGCTAGGACGGTGATGGCGGTGGAGACGGTTCGAGTAGTTCTGTGCCAGCGGCAATGGTCTGGCTTGTGCGGAGACTCGTATTGGGAAGGCACAACCTAGGAAACATACGACAATGTACCTGCCGTGAGACTGGACCCTGGCTCAAAACCATCAAAGAGAGAAGGAGAGAGAGAGAGAAGTGTTCAGCGGGACAAATGACAACTTGGAAAAAGAAAAAGGAATCCCTCGCCTCGTATTCTCAAAGGTCCGGGAGAAGTCGAGTTGAAGTCGGTGGTCCCGTCGACGCTCCGTACGGGAGTTGGTTCCCCTAATAAAACTTTCTGCACGCTCGGGTCCGGTGGACGAAGAGCCACCAAATCGATGAGCGACACCTGATACATGACCAAGTGAACACCGAATGGGTCCATCATCAATGACAGAATGGGTCAGGACTTCTTGGTTGCTATGCGATAAAGCTCTATTGAATTCAAACGACCGCCACAAATTGCCCTTCAGGGCAGATGCGAAGCCAGGGAGACGCTGTCAATGGTCCTGGACAGGCGACTAGAACCCGGGGAACATCTTCAGGGCAAGCTGGTGGCAAGCAAGGAGGATCGACGTTGGCCCTTGATGCTGGCCCTTGAGGTCATCGTGGTTACGTCAGAATCCCATTCTGCAACCATGACAGCCAAGGGTTGGAGAGCCCCCTTCAGCCCTTAAGCTTTTTCTGACCCTTCACTAGAAGGCTCCCTTGCGCTTCGCCCCAAATTTGCCGATTAGCTACACAATTGATTTACTGCTTCTGTGTCAATATGGTCTTGGTCTCTTTTTTTCGCCCTGTTTCGAACAACTATTGTAGGTCCCGTTCTGCGGCCCATCGAGTGTCGAGGCAAAGCTGAGGGTGAAACGAGGGATACTTGGCCATATAATCTGGTACTATCTCTACTCCGTACTCCGTAGGGAGTATCCGCACGCTGATATGGTCTTCCAATAGTTTCCCGCCGTCTCGCAGCGATATCGCTGCGCATAAACCACCAGCTCTTCGCCAGTGGATTATTGCTTGGGGCTTGTATATATCCTTACTCGTCAATCGTACGAGAACACGGCCAACATCAATGTCGACGCATGAGGAGGTTGCTTCTTATTTATGGCGCTGCTTTACGGAGTGCTCCATATTGAATCAACTTGAAGCACCCTTCACCTGATCAAGCATTCACTGGCTACACCAAACTCGGGTTGGTGTCCACAGCCTCATTTTCACCCGCCGGAGTGGATATGGACGCATCCACAGCTCATTTGAGCGTGGACGAGTGTCACAGGTCTGCCGTTGCCCAAATTGTCAACCGTCTGGCGCTCCGACCATCCAGCCGCCGAATGGCATCCGGGTACCTTGCACAAGCCCTGCCGCCGACGGACGCCACATCCAAAGGAAGAACATTCTTGGACCATCTCGCGGCCAATGCTCTTGACTCTTAAACCGCAAGAGGAAGAGCTGTTGTTACCCACCCTCTTCATCGGCTCAAGTCCATGGTTCACTCAACCCTCCCCGGGCTTTTCCCTGTTCTACTACCAACACTCTTCCTTTGCAGCATCACGCATTACGATACGTGGACCAAAAGCTGTTTGCCACTGCTTCTCCCCTTCCACTGCCGTTCCGCACCGGAGGCACAGGCCATACAGCACATAAGTGCAATCGTCCACTTGTCAAATAAGAAGCGGTCAAAGCTGCAAACCCCCGTGATGATGGAAGAAGGACACGCACAACTTGGCACTAACGAGGATAATTATGTTAGTTCTACTACTAGTACCTCTTTGACCGAATACTACATCCTACTACAGTACACAGTCAACAACACCATACCCGATTTGGCCACCCAGGTAGCTCGCCAAGATGCTGATGGCACTCAAATCCTTGCTGAATCCCAGCAATCCATTTCGTGATGGGTTGATCATTATTTTGCATCAAACCATACTTCGGACCGGACAGCCAGTAAGGTCGCTATGCGCCTGCTCTAGGCAAAAAGCTTGCCAGCCAAAATCAGCTTCCTACGCCCGAACACGACAAAACTTAGCACTCCTTATACATACATGGTCCGCGCATGACAAGTTGGTGTGGAATGCCGTCATCTGAGATTATTGTATGTGATAATTAAATACCGCAAACCCAGTACAGATTACGGAGTATATGTGCGGCAGTTACAGGTCGAACCATGTGAAATAGCCCCAAAGATTTAAAGTCAGCAAGAGAAATCGACCTGACGTGTGTTTTAGGTATCGGGGTTCTGGTTCAAGTCCTGGATGACAAGCACGAAGCATCTGCCCAGGAAGAGCCAAGAAGAAATACCCGTTCGCCCTGGGTACAAAAACAGCAACTCGACACTGACAACGATTGCAGATTTGTCTTCGTTCCATGTCGGCATGGCCAATGCCCTGCCAGGCCAGACCAAGCCCTGGCACCAACAAGCACGTTCATTGCCACGCTTTAACATTAAACTCATTATGCTTCCGAAGAGCTAGGTCGGAATCATCACATTAAGCGAGAATGGATGTTCTAGGGCCCCCAGAACCGACAGCCCTCATTCCGATCGCGCCGACGCCAATTCGATGAACCAGTTGCTAAGCCTCGTCCTTCGCAGGGATGAAGAGTTCCATGCTAACCGGACTCTTATGGTTCTTATTTGCGATGTCGAGCGGCTCACACGGGCGCGTCTCGTGCGAATCGGATCACTCACCTTCATGAAGTTGATATCACCCAGTAACATGGGGGCTCTTGAACAGAGTCAGAACGTCGCAGAGTCTTGGGTGATTCCGGAGTAATAGTTTTCAGATGAATACAACATGCACTATGTGGTATTTTGACCACTGGCTGGACGGCCAGATTGCTCGGCCACCCCTGGTACTCCGTACCAAAGTCCACACTGCGCTGGGTATAGGGTATTCTCAAGTGCCCGATGTGCCTCGTTGGTTTTTAATTCTATGTTTGCCTGTGTCACAATACCGCTGGCAGTTATTCCGTACTTATCAGTATTATGCTCTGAGCCAAGTTGTCACATGACATGGATTGGGAGTACCCTATATTCTGTAGCTGGCATGGTGCTTTGCTTCAGACTCGCGATGAGCCTGATCGAGTGGCTGGGACCGACAGTTTCATCCAGCAATCAAAAGGCAGACCCTGGACTCTTGGTGAGTCTGGCGAACGTAATTTGGAGTACAGAGCACCAGACTTCAGAATCAAATCCCGATACGCAGCTCAGTCACGGCGGGCACATCATACGCGCCCAAACGAAAGCCGGGACCCGAGATAGCGGCTTCCCTTGTTCAAAGGACTGAGTGTTCCAACCTGCGAATCATCCCGGGCAAGTAGGGAATCCCCATCGACGGTGTACCATTTTGTGCCGCGTCGAAGCGGTTCTTCAGACATGCATATATATTATGCTTCGTAGATGCAGTACCGTGCAGAGTATTGCATGCAAGGCTTCTAAGTTGGCTGAACGGTCCCCTCAACAAATGGCATCGGACACGCGGTGAGACGGCGACGGGCAGTCGCAGTTGGGCAGGCGTTGGCACCTATACAAAGATGTTGTGCATTTTTCAAGGCCCGTATGCACATATCTAGGTACCTAGGGACGGGACACCGTATTCTTCATGATGGTATCGTTTGTCTGATGTCGGGATATTTATTGAAGCAAGGCCACATCAGATGGATGAGCTAGTACTGGTACGCAGTGTGGTGGCGTCGGTGCTGGCCCACTGATGACTTGAGGACCGCGTCTCGATTGAGCGGTTTTCCCAACAGTTAGTTTGATTGACGTTTCCCGTGCCTGCGGCTGCAGAATGGCGGGTTTTATGTGAAAGTCCGATGATATCCCCCCTGGTTGATGGCTCTCTGTGGCTCCATTGTGTGCCCCTCGTGCGGCCCCGCCATGCGTCGACGTGTCGTCGATGTTGTCGTGGTGCCGTGCGAGGCCGGAGAGCAGGGAACAAAGAGTTGATGATTGGCGCTGATACTCGACACTATGCGCAACTTTTGTAGCACAAAGTGTGCAGCAGGTTGGTGCTATGCCGCGAGGCACCGAATGGTCCGTCAAGGTTAATGTGATGGACGGAAACGGCGGTGATGCCCCTGGCCGTCGATCGCTGAACCCTCCCGCGGCCCCTTTGGGGAGCCAATCGTCCATGTCGCCGAGTTACTCGTTGGCGCTTGGCGGTCGTGTGCCTGTCTGCGTCTCTCCCGCTTCATCCGATGGCGGTCGACGCCTGCAGCTCCAGCCTCCAGGCGTCCAGGACAGCCAGCAGTCGAGCAGTCGAGCCCCTCACCGCCCTCCGGTCTGGTCCGCCCACCGTCCACGTGTGAGAGACCACCAAACAGGCATAAGTGACAACATTGAACCGCGGGGCTCCACGAGAATCGCCGCGCCGGTGTCTGCTGCTATATCAGGTCCACATTCTGCCCATCGCCCACGTCGGCTTCCCGCCTCCTTTTCTTCCCTCTTCAACCACGTCAATTGCATTCTGCTACACACAAGAACGCCAAACCAAACCTTTCCTTTGCCCGATCTTTCTGTCTTTTTACAGAATCTTCGCGGTACATTCCACTTCTGGTTCCGTCGGGCCACGAAAAAATAACAAACTGCAAAAAGAAACCACCCCACCCACCAAACCACTCAAATCTCAACAGATCGAGGCATTGAACCTCGATCACACAGTCGTCAAGACGTTTTCCAATCTCCTCAACTCGTACGTCGACCTTTCCACTTCACATCTTGCCGCCGCCTGTACAGACCGCCATGCTAACCCGTGCAAACAGGATTCACCACCCGTTCGCAGGAGCCCGTTGCTCAGCCGATTCTGGAGGAGCATCGGACTCAGTCCAGACCCAGTAAAGGCAGAAACTTGACATCCAAGCATCCCCAACTTTCCTGTCTTACGAACCATCTACTTTCGCGCCAATACCACTTGTCAACATGGCTCCCCACGCGCAAGTTACCACGGGCTCCACGAACGGGGCGGCTCTCAATGGCACCACCGCCGCTGCTTCTCCCACCACTTTCGTCGTCAACTCACCCAATGTTACCTATACTGACGCCGAGATCAAGTCCAAGTACACCTACCGTACCACCAGTGTCGAGACTGACGCCAGTGGCAACTTTGTTGCTACTCCCAAGGAGACGCAGTATGACTTCAAGGTCGACCGCAAGGTTCCCAAGGTCGGCATGATGCTGGTCGGCTGGGGCGGCAACAATGGCACTACCGTTACCGCTGGTATTCTCGCCAACCGCCGCAATCTCGTCTGGGAGACCAAGGAAGGTCCCCGCGAGGCCAACTACTACGGCTCTGTTGTCATGGCTTCCACCATGAAGCTCGGTTCTGATGCCAAGACCAATGCCGACATCAACATCCCCTTCCACAACGTCCTGCCCATGGTCCACCCAAATGACCTTGTTATTGGCGGCTGGGACATCAGCAAGATGAACCTGGCTCAGGCCATGGACCGTGCTCAGGTCCTTGAGCCTACCTTGAAGTCTCTTGTCAAGAAAGAGATGAACGAGATGGTCCCCCTCCCTTCCATCTACTATCCTGACTTCATTGCTGCCAATCAGGAAGACCGTGCCGACAATGTTCTCGAGGGCACCAAGGCTTGCAATGGCCACGTTGAGAAGCTCCGCCAGGATATTCGCGACTTCAAGGCCAAGAACAACCTGGACAAGGTCATTGTTATGTGGACTGCCAACACGGAGCGATATGCCGACATCATTCCTGGTGTCAATGACACTGCTGACAATCTCCTCAAGGCCATTGAGCAAGGACATGAGGAAGTCTCCCCCTCCACCGTCTTTGCTGTTGCCTGTATTCTTGAGGGAACCCCCTTCATCAACGGCTCTCCTCAGAACACCTTCGTGCCTGGCGCTATCCAGCTGGCTGAGAAGCACAATGCATTCATTGGTGGTGATGACTTCAAGTCTGGCCAGACCAAGATGAAGTCTGCCCTTGTCGACTTCCTCATCAATGCCGGAATCAAGTTGACGTCTATTGCCAGCTACAACCACCTGGGCAACAACGACGGCAAGAACTTGAGCTCCCAGAAGCAGTTCCGCTCCAAGGAAATTTCCAAATCCAACGTGGTCGACGACATGGTTGAGGCCAACACCGTTCTGTATAAGAAGGGAGAGCACCCTGACCACTGCGTTGTTATCAAGTATATGCCTGCTGTCGCTGACAACAAGCGTGCTCTTGATGAGTACTATGCAGAGATCTTCCTCGGTGGTCACCAGACTATTTCGTAAGTAACAACACGTGTGCTACGGTGAGAGATGAGAGCTAACATGATCGCAGCCTGTTCAACATTTGCGAGGACTCCTTGCTTGCCTCTCCTCTCATCATTGATCTTGTCGTCATTGCTGAGATGATGACCCGTATCCAGTGGAAGGATTCCACGTCCGAGGACGGCTACAAGAACTTCCACAGCGTTCTCAGTGTTCTCAGCTACATGCTCAAGGCTCCTCTGACTCCTCCCGGCACCCCTGTTGTCAACGCTCTTGCTAAGCAGCGTGCCGCTCTGACCAACATCTTCCGTGCCTGTGTTGGTCTTCAGCCCGAGTCTGATATGACACTTGAGCACAAGCTCTTCTGAATGGGGATAATGTGAATAAGAACAAGACATAGTCTGGGTCGGAATTGTTGCTTAAGAAAAGCATAAAATTGAAAAAAAAAAAGGATAAAAATAAACTATAAAACATTAGGTAGAGACAACAGGCATCTGGGCCAAGTTGCTTGAATGAAAATATTGTGTCTCGCCGACAATGCAGCTCATTCAGTGCCATGTGAAGTGGCTGGCGAATAAACGTCTGCACGCAATTCCGTAGATGCAGCTGAAGAAACCATCTCTTGTCAAAGCCTTATGACGATGCATTTGCCATTTATCTCGGTCGAAGATGAGCAACTGCGTTTTAATACGACATGTGGTCTCCTGGCATGTGCACAATTGCGGTGTGTTGGACAATGAGGTTGGTCCATCAATTGCAGATAATTAAAAGATGACGCGGGATGGCCCGCAACAGCGCGCCACCAAAATCGCGTCGCGCGTCCGCGAGCTCCCCACCAGCCGTTATCCCACTTAAACGCAGCAACATTGAACCTCTCAAGCTCGTGGTCCGTCTGCTCCGTACTTGATACACATCCAACAGAATTTTTAGTATACGTCTTAAGCAGTCAATTTCCTGTCATTCTTCGTTTTTGATGATTTAATACAGTTTCTTGATTATCACGCCAGCCAATATTTCCAGCCATTCATCGCCGTCGATGGCGCTTCCACGAGTTTCCTCGCCCGCATCACGCGCTGGCTCACCGGAACCGTTGACACCGCGGTCCAAAATAAGAGCTCTGCTGGCAACAGTAGAAAGCAGTGACGACGAAGGACCACAGACTGGCAACAAGAAATCAAAATCGTCTCTTATTTCTCAATTGCCTCGCAAGATACACAGTAGCCCTCGATTGGCACAAAATGACAATGAGTCTGACGAGTCGGACGTTGCCGTTCGACCGAGAGGGAAGCTCGCGTCACGGATGCAGGGTGGTTCGGCAAATACAAAGAGCGCTTCTCAGAGCCCCTCGGTCCCAGTGACGGCAAGAGAACGCGTGAGGAGGATGTTGCAACGCGACGAGGCGGAACAACAAGAGAATTCGGCGGCCCACGGTGACCAAGACGACGAGCTTCCCATTGCCCCGAGGCGGTTGAAACGACGAGCTCCTGTTGATGACGAATCTGATGCTGCAGAGAGGATATCCCGGTCTCATAGCCCCGGATTGTTCGTCTCTTCCCCAATGCGTCCTTCCCCAGTGAAAGGCGCTGCCGGGGCAGAGGATTCGGATAACGACTTACCGCCGCTGAAATCAGATCGTTTCCAGGCTCTCGTCGAACGAAAGAGACAAGAACGTCTTGCACGTGAAGCCGCAGAGGAGGCCCGCAGGGTTGAGCGACGAGCTCAGCAAGAACATCTTGCCTCTGAGCTGGAGCAGCTCGTTTCGGATGATGATGTCGACGGCATCACCGACGACGAAGGTGGCAGACGACTCACCCAAGAAGTTCGCCCAACGAGGAAAGCGAGCAAGAAGGCGATTGAGGAAATGAACAGGGAGACGCAGCGGATGGCCAGAAGCATGCAGCTTGCTCATGAGGCCAAGACAAAGAAGAAGATCTCCAAAGCCAGCCTTTTCCAGCGGTTCCATTACAAGCCTGTTGGTGGGGGTGAAACCACATTGCCTGCTGCCAACAGCTCCAGCCGACCTACAACACCGCAGTCTGATGTTGAGATGGGACATGCGGATACACCTCCTAGCTCTCCACCCCTGGGTAAGCAGGATGGTGGTCGGCTTGTCAATGAGGACACTACTGTTCCAGCAGAAAACATCGAGGCTGCAGCTCAACCAGGAGTCGCCGCCAAGACAGCGAGCCTCACAACGGCAAGTGTAGATGCTGGTCCACAGGCACAGCCAAAGCGAAGAGTTCGGGTTCGACTGCCTGTCGTGCCCACAAACGCAGTTACAATCGACACGGACGACGATCTCCAGATTACGACATCGGTCAAGGACAAGGTTGATGCGCTGTTTGCGAACATTCCTTCCAAGACGTCATCCAAGACTCAATCTCTACAAATTTTCCGTGCTTTGGCACAGGTCAAGTCTCCTGGCAAGGAGAGTCGCGGCAAGAAAGACCAGTCCAGGATGACCCCTGGAGAGCTTCAGGCTTATTTGCAACTCAAAGCCCGCCAGCAGGCCAAATTGGAGCGCGATCGTCGCCTGGAGGTTCTCAAGGGACAAGGAATTGTCATCCAGACCGCTGAAGAGCGCGAAAGACAAGAGCAAGAAGTCGAGGACATTGTGGCCAAGGCTAGACAAGAGGCCCAGAAGCTCATGGAGGAGGAGAGAAGCGAGGCTAAGCGGCAACAGAAGGAGAATGGCGAAGTTGATCCTCTCGCTTGGGATGACAGTGACGACGAAGAATACCAGGATCCGGCCGAGGAGGCGGATGCGGAGGCATCAGAGTTAGAAATATCTGGGTCTGAGGATGAGGCAGAGGCAGACGGCACGGAGGAAGACGAGGGCGCCGAAAACCCTCTATTTGACGAGGAGGCTGACTCTAGCGCATCTGAAGCCGAGACTGCTGCTCAAGACCAGGCTGATATGGATGAGATGGAGCAACCAGCCCCGAGGAGACAACGCAGAGTACGAAACAAGGCCATGTTAGTGCTTTCGGATGATGAAGGCGAAGTGCAGGCTACACCCAGGCCTGTCAAGGTTACTGCTACCCAGATGACACCCGCGGGTGCAGGCACCATATCTCCTGTCGCTCCCGGCTCAGTTCTACGATCTGCGAAAAAGACGTTTATTCCCGGACTGCCTGTCCAGGGGCCTGCTGGGCTGGGACTCACACAGATATTTGCTGGCACCATGGACAGCCAAATGAGCGATTGTGCAGCCGGGCCAACGCAGTCTATGATGCCGGATATCGACCACTTCCCCGATTCCAACTTTTCAGCCACCATGGACGAGCCGATTGAAGAAATGATTGTTGATTCTCAACAAGAGGAGACCCAAGGGGTGCAGCTCAACCTCTCACAGTCTCAGATGCATGGTCTCGGAACGCTGATTGCCAACGGAATGCAGACTCAGCTGTCTGAGACACTGGAGCTATCCCAGGATGTGGGCTTGCAACAACATACCCCTCTCCGAGACAGATTCGTAGATCCTCCCTTCTCAACGGTTGAGACCATGATTGCCGACAAGCAGGACGGGGACATGCCCCAGGAGTCACCGATGGTTCGCAGAGGCCGGCTTCGGCGAAGAATGGACATGTCTACTGCCGAGACTGCTATCCCGGAGGCCAGTGAGCCCAGCGCACCCAGCATTCAAGGCAACGCCTTCCAAGCTATGCAGGATGCAGCCAAAAAAGAGAAGAGACTCCGGCTTGCCGACGATTTTGATCGTAAGAAGAGCAAGGCTAAAGAAATGGTTGAGGAGCAGGCCGAAGAATCAGAGGATGAATACGCCGGTCTGGGTGGCATGGACGGCGAGGATAGTGACAATGAGTCCAACGGTTCGATGGAGGAGATGATTGACGACGCGGCTCTCAACGAAAACGACAAACGGAAGCTAGCTGCATTTTATGCGTAAGTTGCAACGTCTCTCTTCCCCCTTAACCACGTTATGGATAATAGAAGCTAACTTGAGCCCAGTGATCGTGAACGGGCCAACGACGAACAACAGGTCGAAAGGCTCTTCAAGGACATCACCAGCGGCATGCTCCGTCGCAAGCGTGGAGGCGATTTTGACCTCTCTGACTCAGACTCTGATGGTGAGGCTCGCAAGCGCATGAAGCGCCGACAATTCGCCAAGATGCAAAAGGCGCTCTTTGCAGACGAGCGTGTCAAGAAGATTGCTGAAAACCCCGGAAACCAAGCATTTTTGCGAACCATTGAGGACCGCGACAGTGACGATGAGATTGATCTCCTGGGCGCTCTCGACACGCCGTCACAAGCGGACTCTGAGTCTCAAAACGACACCCAGGAGCAAGCTCAGCACCCTACCTTGATCCCTGACAGCCAGCCTACACAACCACAACCACAGCCACTTTCTTCAACAGCAGACAACAGCAGAGCGCCGGCGAGCATGCGCAGAACCAAGAATGGCAAGAAACCCTCCAACATAGGTGAGGTGCGCGAAACGCTGTCCAACCTCCTCGACGAGCCACACGGATCCATCATCCCCGCCACAGAAGTTGGTTCCGACAGCGAAGGAGAAGAACAAGAAGAAGCCGACGACGACGACCTGTCACGCAGCAACAAGGAGAACCAGCCCGTAGTAGATCGGATCAGCCTCAAGCGCAACACCTCGAGCACGAGCTCCACCGTTCGCATGGCTTTCACCACACAGACGTCGTCGTCCTTCAAGGTGCCCGCGCTGCTACGACGAGCCACCACCAACTCAACCATCATGTCCGGGTCCTCGGGGAGTTCCGCCATGAGCAGCGCGGGGGGATTCGGCGACGACGCCAAGATCAAGAAGGGCGCGGGCAAGAAGAGCGGCATCGGCGGCTTCGCGAGGGAGAACGAGCAGAGAGCCAAAGTGCAGGAGAGCGAGAGGCGGAGGCAGGAGAGGCGCGTCAAGGGTGCCAGGGGCAGAATAGGCATGGTCGGCGGCATCTTGGGCAAGGGAACATTCGGGTAGTCGCCCGTCATGATGATGACTTTTTGCGAGCGGGAGGGCGTTTAATTTTTTTTTCTTTTTGGGGCTAGTTTGCTATTGGCCATGGCTGGCGCTTTTATGGGAAGGGGATCCTGTGACTTTTGATATCCGGTAGATTATACGCTTCATTTGGGTATTCGGCACCAGTGGAATCATGGAAGAACTCATCGTGGTCCACGCGTGGCCCAGAAAGCCTGCCGCCGTGTGCGTGACAAGCCCTCCCCGGTTCTTGTAGGCCTCGTGTCTGGTATACATAAACCTGTAGCCGCCTCCGCGTTCCTGGACGTCCGTCGAACTATATACGGATGCTATTCCTCCGTGTCCTCTGCCACCTGGACTGGCAACACGGCCTGCCATGCTGAAACCTGAGGATTTGAGAGAATGGATGCG